TTGACATCAGTCTTTACAGGATCTTTTTGGACACCATATCTTCTCAGACAGGGGAAACAATAGGAAGAATAAACAAATGGGACTTCATCAGACTAAAGAGCTTCTACAAGGCAAGGGAAAACAGGATTGAAACAAAAACACAACCCACCAACTGAGAAAAAATATTTGCAAATTATATATCCAACAAAGGGTTAATCTCCATAATATATCAAGAACTCACACAACTCAACAATAAAAAATCAAACAACCCAATCAAAAAATGGGCAGGGAACATGAACAGACATTTCTCCAAAGAAGATGTACAGATGGCCAATAGGCACATGAAAAGATGCTCATCATCACTGATCATCAGGGAAATGCAAATCAAAACTACACTAAGATATCACCTTACACCCATTAGAATGGCAAAAATAATCAAAACAAAAAGTAACAAATGTTGAAGAGGTTGTAGAGAAAAAGGCCCCGCATACACTGCTGGTGGGAATGCAAACTGGTGCAGCCACTATGGAAAACAGTATGGAGATTTCTCAAAAAGTTAAAAATAGAAATACCATATGACCTAGCCATCCCACTACTGGGTATATATTCAAAGAAATTGAAATCAGTAATTCAAAGAGACCCATGCACCTCTATGTTCAATGCGGCTTTATTCATAATAGCCAAGATGTGGAAGCAACCTAAGTGCCCATTGACTGATGACTGGATAAAGAAGATATGGTGTGTGTATATATATACACACATATATATACATACTATACACACACACACACACACATTGGAATACTACTCAGCCATAAAAAAAGATAAAATCATCCCATTCACAGCAACATGGATGGACCTTGAGGGCATCATGTTAACTGAAGTAAGCCAGCTAGAGAACGATAACCTCTGCATGACTCCACTTGTGTGTGGAAGATAAACAAACACATGGACAAAGAGAACAGATTAGTGGTTACCAGGAGAAAAGGGGGTGGGGGTGGGCACAAAGGGTGAAGTGGTGCACCTATAATATGACTGACAAATAATAACGTACAACTGAAATTTCACAAGGTTGTAAACTATCATAACCTCAGTAAAAACAAAACAAAAACAAAAAAATAGGACTCACTTCTGCCATTTAGCTATTTTCTGTATTTCTTATATGCTCTTTGTTCCTCAATTTTTCCATCACTGCTTCTTTTTTATTTCATTGATTTTTGTGGTGTCCCATTTTGATTTCCCTCATCTTTTGTGTATTCTTTTAGTTTTTTCTTAGTGGTTACCTTAAGGATTAAAATTAATATCTTCTAATGACCTACTGTGAATAATACCAATGTAGTTTCAATAGCATACCAACACTGCTCCTATACCTCTTCATCCCTTGCCTTTTATGTTGTTAATGTTACAAACTACATTGTCTGTGCATCCATTAACACCAATTTATCATTGTGTTATGCATTTGCCTTTTGAATCATACAGAAAGAAAGGAGTTAAAAATCAAAAGTACAATAAAACTGGCTTTTATATTTACCTATGTAGTTACCTTTACCTATGTTATTTATTTCTTCATATAGCTTTGAGTTACTGTCTAGTGCCCCCTTTTTTTTTTTTGGTGAGGAAGATTTGCCCTGAGCTAACATTCATTGCCAATCTTCCTCTATTCTGTATGTGGGACACTGTCACAGTATGGCCTGATGAATGGTGTATAGGTCCACACCCAGGATCCAAACCTGCAAACCCTGGGCCACTGAAGGGGAGTGCATAAACTTAACCACTACACCACCAGGCTGGCCCCTCTAGTGCCCTCTAATTTCAGCCTGAAGGACTCCTTTAGCTAATTTTTAATGGCAATTCTAGTAGTAAGAAACTCACTTAGCTTTTATCTAGGAATGTCTTAATTTCTCCTTCATTCTTGCACCACAGCTTTGCCAGATGTAGAATTCTTGGTTGACAGGTTTTTTTTTTTTTCTCGCAGCACTTCAAATATATCAACACACTGCCTTCTGGCCTCCAAGATTTCTAATGAGAAATGGGCTGACAAGTCTTATTAGGAGTACCTTGTATGTGACAAATTGCTTCCCTCTCACTGATTTCAAGCTTCTGTCTTTGTCTTTTGCTAGTTGATTATCATGTGTCTTTGTATGGTTCTCTGATTTATCCTACTTGGAGTTCATTAAGCATCTCGGATTTGTAGATTTATATATTTTGTCAAATTTGGGAAGTTTTCAGCCATTATTTCTTCAAATATTCTTTCTACCCCTTTCTCTCTCTTTCTTTCTGCTGGGATTCGCATGCTACATATGTTGGTTCACCTAATAGTATACCTCAAGGCTAATTAGGCTCTGTTCACTTTTCTTCATTCTTTTTCTCTTCCTCAGACTCAATAATTTCAATTGTCCTATCTTCAAATTTGCTAATTCTTTCTTCTGCTTGTTCAAATCTGCTTTCAAAGGCTCCTAGTATGTTTTTTACTTCAATTATTGTACTTTTTAGTTTCAGAATATCTTTTGGGTTTCTTTTTATAATTTCTATCTCTTTATTGCTGTTCTCATTTTGTTCATATGATGCTTTCCTGTCTTTGTCCATGTCCTCATTTACCTCTTTGAGTATCTTTAATTCAGTTGTCTTAAAATCTTTGTCTAGTAAGTCTGACATCTGAGCTTCCTTAGGTATATTTTGTATTGATTTATTTTGTTCCTTTTAATGAGCTATACTTTCCTATTTCTTTGTATGCCTTTTGATTTTTTGTTGTTGTTGAAAAGTGACTCTTGTAATGTGATAACTCTGGACATCAGATTCTCCTCCTTCTCCATGTTTTTTCAAATTATTATTATTATTGTAGGGTCTCTGTGCGAGAGATCAGCCTGAGGTATAAGTGTGAAGTCTTCTCAGGTCTTTTCTGAGCCTTCTTCTTTTCCAAGGCTTCCTAAATTCTCCCTTATATATGGTTGTTTTTGAAGGTCAAAAACAAAACAAAACCAGACATGGCTCCTTAAACCCCCTGGAAGCCACCTGAGCCAGTGAGGGGTGACACACTGGCAGCCAGTCTCTGTGCCTGTACCTCTGCATTCAGAAGCAGCAGTCTGCAATCAGAACACAGAACCTTGATATTTGAGGACAAAGTCTTTATTGCCCACCATGGCTCCTGCAAGCTGTGCCAGAAACAAAGGTGGTTTTTCAAACATCTGCCTGATGTGGGGCTGGGAGGTGGAAAATGGATAGCTGTTACACACCAAGGACTGAAATCAACCAATGCTAACTGCAATTTACCAGTCAAGCTTTATTCTATAAGCTGCAAGTGTCCAGATAGACTCCAGAGTTCCCAAGTTGTCACTTTAGACAGTTTCTGCCAGTACAATTGTTGTCTACATGGCGAGATAGATTCCTGGAGCTCTCTACTCTGCCATCTTTCCTGATGTCAACCCAGTCAGTTGTTTTTTGAAAGTCCCTCAAATTTGAGTTCCTCTAATATATTCTTATCATTAGACTGAGGTTATGCACTATTGAGAAGGAGACCACAGAGGTGATATGTCTTCCTCAGTGCATCATATCAGGAGATACTTGATGTCAACATGTACTATTGGTGATGTTAACCTTGGTCACTTCCCGAAGATGGGGTCTGCTAAAATTACACTGTAAACTTACTATTTCCTCCTTTATGATTACTAAATATTTTGAGACTACGCAAATATCCTGTTTCCATTTAAATTTTCACTCACTTACTTTAGCGTCTACCAGCAGATCTTGCCCATGGGGAATTATTACTGTGGTGTTCTGATGATGACTTTTCTATTTCCCTCATTCCATCTACGCTTATTAATCGGAATTCTTCAGTGAGGATGAGGTGTTGCTTCCTCTGAATTTCTTCACGTATTCAGCTATTTATTTATTTATATCACTATGGCCTCATGGATATTTATTTTATAATCCAATATTATGATTATTTATTGTGTTGTTCAAGTTGTTCCAACTCTGGCCTTTGTGAGGTCTCATAGTTTGGCTCCTTACTTTCTGGAACCACAAGATGCTCCAGATTCATATTGTACTTTCTCAACTCACAGTGTGGAATAAAGTGGTTATCCAAGGAACACTGGTTCCTTTTATTGGAGAATAGTGTTTATGAAACAAGAGCTGAGTGCTAAGTGTGCTCATTGCTTCTGGAGTATTGCTGCTTCCAACCCAATGCATTGGTTTTTGTTTGTTTGTTTGTTTAGATTTTATTTTTTCCTTTTTCTCCCCAAAGCCCCCCGGTACATAGTTGCATATTCTTCGTTGTGGGTCCTTCTAGTTGTGGCATGTGGGACGCTGCCTCAGCGTGGTTTGATGAGCAGTGCCATGTCCGCGCCCAGGATTCGAACCAAAGAAACACTGGGCCGCCTGCAGTGGAGCGCGTGAACTTAACCACTCAACCACGGGGCCAGTCCCCCAACTCATTGTTTTTTCATGTTAAGAAAAAATCTGGCATTCCTGGGACCAATCCTACTTGATCAGGCGATAGTATTCTTTGTTTAAACTGCTGGACTTAATTTGCTAATATTTTATGAAAAATTTTTGTGCCTACATTCATATAAGATATTTTTCTGTAGCATTCTGTTTTTTTTTCAATTTCTTTGTCTGATTTTAGTATCAGGATAAGTTGGGAAATACATACACTTGTTCTAATTTCTGAAAGAATTTGTTTGTAATTAGTAATTATTCATTAAATGATAAAAACCCTTGACAGACATCATGCTAGAAGGAAATTTATGGCCCTCTTTTGCATGGCCTTTTATTGATATTTTCCACTTTACTCATATGTAACTTAATGAAGTTTTGCTGTGTATTATTGGACAGTTTTTTATTTAAGCAAATGCAAAAAAGTCAGGAAAAAAATTCCATCTTATATAAGTGAGTTAGTTTAAAAATTAGTTGTGTTCTATTTTTAATCTATTCTTTAGACAAAATAGGGCTTATTCTTAGATTCATCCTTACAATACTTCTTCATTCTAAAACTCCTAATTTCCCCAAATGTATCACTTTACCTATATATTTCAATAGCTTTCATATCTTCATCATCAAATTCATCTTCAGCTTCCTTCAACTGTGCAAGAGTCATCTTTTCATATGGTTTAACTAAAACAAAATAAATCATAGATAATTGAATTGTTTAAAAATTATTTTTACTTTATAGTCACATGTCTAAAAAAACCAATATATTAGATAAATGGAGATCAAGAATATCCTTTTTTTTCCTCCCCAAAGCCCCAGAACATAGTTGTATATCCTAGTTGAAGTTGTTCTAGTTCTTCTATGTGAGACGCTGCCATGGCTTGGCAACTGACAGATGAGTGTTGTGGTTCTGTGCCTGGGAAGTGAACCCAGGCTGCTGAAGCAGAACACGCCAAACTTTAACAACTAGGCTATCAGGGCTGGCTCAAGAATATCTTTAAGGTTGCAGTTTCTCCAGTATATAAACCTATTTTGTGGCCTGATCTGATATGCTTCAGGTTTGTTAAAAACGTTGTTACTCCCTCGGAGTTCACAGAATTACCAGGCTCCACTAAAAGTAGATGTGAAAATCAATTAGACCCCATAAATCTAGATTTTCCAAGTACCTCAAAATCTTGACAAATAATACATACTATATAGAATGATCAAAATAGAAGGTAATCACAAGGTAGAGAAGAAAAGCTCACTAGGTTAGATACCAGGACATTTCAGCTCTGTTATTAACTAGTATGTGACTTTCAACACACAAATTAGGAATTTTAGGTGTCAGCATGCTAATTTCAAAAGTATGGTGGGATTTATATTAAATGATTTCTAACGTCCTCTCTCCCTCTAAGTTCATGAAATACACTATCACTATTATAACTGTATTATCCCCTTCATCCAGCCCACCAAGCGCACAACTGTACCCATTGCTTCTTTCTGTAAACGTAAAACCATTTCTTCAATTTCATCTTTTGGCTCTTCTTTTGGAGGAAGAATGCCAAAATTTCTTAAAATTTCATTCCATTCTGTATCTTCATTTGGATCCTATATAAAAAATAGAAAATCTATTAACATAGTAGTACATTTTATCATGTATGCGTAAAATTGATACATAGCATTTCTAACTATGCAATTATTCATGAACTCTATAGATTAGTTTCAAAGAATACAACAAATGGTCTACTTTTCCCCTATTTCCCAGCACTAACAGGACTACATACTTTGATAAACAGGATACACCCTCTACCCTCAAAGTTACACTGAGATGTTTAATAAAAATCAATTTAGAACACATATATCAAATATTAATGAAATAAACTCGTAAGTCACGGAAAATTCCCTGATGACCAGAGTAGACAAAACCAATTCACACCATGCACAAATACTGTTTCGTTGCTTTTTCTACATAAGTATCCAAGACCTCCAGGTGAGCTTGCTTCTTTTCCAGCTATTTAGCTTCATAGGACTCCTGCTCCCAGGTTAAATCTTAGAAGAAGTTAGGAATCTTTCCATAGTTCAATTTCTATCTAATCATAATTTCTTTCTATGAAAGTTAACCTTGTTTTCCTTGTTACTTAGACTTTGATATTTTAGTATCTGCTTTTCCAGAAGTTGTCTGTCATATATTAACTATTGTCTTTCTAACCTGCTATCCACTTTCTCCGATGTTTCCAGAGGAAGGGAAAACTTAATTGCATACGTGAGTGGATACTGTGGCAAACAAAGTATAAGATGGCCTTGAATGATCTGCACTTTCTGGTGTTCACATCCATTCTTAATCCCCTCTCCTTGTTTATGAGTGGGAACTATGATATGCCTCTAGCCAACAGAATATGGCAAATGGGAAGGAATGTAATTTCTGTGATTACATTCTGTACGTTTGTAACTTCCATCTTGCCAGCACTCTCTCTCATTTGTAGGCATTGATGAAGCAAGCTGCCATATTCTGAGGTGCTGTATGGAAAGAACTACATGACAAGGAAAATGTAGCCAACAATCAGCCAGGAAATGAAGTCCTCAGTCAAACAGCCCTAAAAGAACTGAATTCCGCCCCCGACCATGTAAGTGAAATTAGAAGTGCATCCTTCCTCTGTTGTGCCTTCATATGAGACCTCAACTCTGGCTGACACTTTGCTTGCAACCTTGTGGGAGACTCTGAAGCAGAGGGCCCAGCTAAGCAATGCCTGGATCCTTGATCCATAAAAACTCTGAGATAATAAATGTGTTGTTTTAAGACACCAAGTTTGTGGTAATTTCTCAGGCAACAACGGATAACTAATGTAAGTATCATCTTTTTTTTTTTTTTTGAGGAAGATTAGCCCTGAGCTAACTCCTGCCAATCCTCCTCTTTTTGCTGAGGAAGACTGGCCCTGAGCTAACATCCATGCCCATCTTCCTCTACTTTATATGTGGGACGCCTACTACAGCATGGCTTTTGCCAAGCAGTGCCATGTTCACACCCGGGATCTGAACCAGTGAACCCCGGGCTGCTGAGAAGCGGAACATGCAAACTTAACCACTGAGCCACCTGGCCGGCCCAAGTATCATCTTATTTATCCTCTTCATTCTATTATTTGGCAAAGTTTTGTTTTTCTATCCACACCTAGTTTTTTACTGGTCTCTCTATCCATGAGATCTTCCAGTCCCCATTTTTTCTATATGTCTTATAACAATTTAAAAAACTATCATCAGCAGGAGTTCTGCACTTGATAATGGCAGACTAGATAATTTGGATCAAGCCTCCTGCTGAGAACAGCTAGTAAAACTGAAGGAAATGGATGAAAATAAATTTAAAGGAAGTGGAGAATCAATAAGGCAGTGAAGAGAATCATGGGGAGAAGATCCTGGATGAAAAGGAGAACCAAAGAGAGGAGCATTTGGGGCCGTCCCCCTTGGATCAACTGCCAACTCTGGAAGAGGTCAAGAGGCTGAGAAATTGAATAAAAGTCCACAAATTTGAGCACAGTGACCAAAGACAGAAATCAATAAGAAAACAGTAACTAGGAGATCATCATATATTTGGGAATTAAGAAAAAATTTTCTAGGGCCAGCCTCGGTGGCCTAGTGGTTAAGTTCGGTGTGCTCTGCTTTGGTGGCCCAGGTGTAGTTCCCAGGTGCAGACCTACACCACTCGTCAGCAGCCATGCTGTGGTGGTGACCCACATACACAAAGAGGAAGATGGCCAATGGACGTTAGCTCAGGGCAAATCTTCCTCAGCAAAAACAAAACAAACACACAAAAAAAGAAAAGAAAAAATTTTCTGAATAATCCATGGGTCAAAGAAGAAATCATAATGGGAATTAAAAAGCATTAGGAATTGAATGACAGCAATAAAGCCACATATCAAAAATACGTGAGCTGCGACTAAAGCAGTTCATAAAAGGAATTTTATAATGCTAATTTAACATATTAGAAAATGAAGAACAGTTAAAAATTAAGATACAAGCATCCAACCTAAAAAGTTGGAAAAAGAATATCAAAATAAATCAAAGGTAGAAGTAAGGAAATAATAAAGGTGAAAGTAGAAACTCATGAAATGAAAAATAAATATATAACAGAGAGGTTTAACAAGGCCACAAATTGGTTCTTAGAGAAGACTAATAAAATTGGTGAACACTTGCCAAGAATGACCAAAAAAGAGTGAGAAGGCACAAATAACCAATATTAGAAATGAAAAAGAGGAGCTCCTGATAAGTAATACAAACATTTAAAAAGAGGATCCTCTCTATTGTATTTTGCTCATTTTTTTTCTACTTTAAGTTGGAAGCTTAGATCATTGACTATAAACCTTTCTTCTCTAATATAACCACTTAAAGCTATAAATTTCCCTTTAACAAATTCTTTAGCAGCATCCTACAAATTTTGGTGTGCTGTATTTTTATTATCATTCAATTCAAAATATTTCTAATCTCACTTGTAATTTTTTTTTTCTTTTTGGTGAGGAAGATTGGCCCTGAGCTCACATCTGTTGCCAATCTTCCTTTTTTCGCCTGAGGAAAATTGTCCCTGAGCTAACATCTGTGCCAACCTTCCTGTTTCGTACGTGGGATGCCACCACAGCATGACTGGATGAGTGGCGTATTGGTCTGCACCTGGGATCCAAACCTGAGACCCCTGGGCTGCCAAAGTGGAGCATGTACACTTAACCACTACTCTACTGGGCCACCCTCTCACTTGTAATTTTTTACTGACATTTTTATTACTTGGAAGGATGCTGTTTAATTTTCAAATAATTTGGGCTTTCTAGATATCTTATTAATAATTTCTAATTTAATTCTGCTTGGTCAGAAACATACTTTTTAAAAATTTCAATTTTTTGAAATGTATTGACTTGTTTTATGACCCAGCATATGGTTTATCTTATTGACTGTCCCATGTGTGCTTGAAAAGAATGCGTATTCTGCCACTGATGGGTATATTTCTGTACAAATCAATGGACGGTTAACAGATTTGTTCAGATCTCCTATTGTGTTAGTGATTTTTGTACCTAGTTTTTCTACCAATTACTAGGAGAAGGGGTGTTAAAATCTCAAATTATCATTGTGGATTTGTCTATTTCTCCCTTGAATTCTGTCAGTTTTTGCTTTATGTGCTTGAAGCTTATTATGAAAATACATGAATACACAAATACAGCTATATTTGTGATAGATACCTTCCTGATGAATTTCTCTGTCATTATAAAACGTTCCTTTTTATTTCTAGTAGTAATCCTCAACTTGATGTGTTTTGTTTGATACTAATACAGTTTCTCTAGCTTACTCCTAACTACAGTTTAAATAGCATGTCTTTTTTAATCCTTTTACTGTGTCTTTGTATTTAAAGTGTCTCTTTTATCAATATTTTGTTGTGTCTTGCTTTTTTAATCTATTCTGACAATCTCTACTTTTTAATTGAAGTGTTTAGTCCATTTGCATTTAATGTAATTGTTAATATTAGATTTAGAGCTACTATTTTCCTGTTTTCTATTAGTCTCATTTACTTTTTTCTCTGTTCCTTTCTTGCCTTCTTTTGATAAACTAAATATTTTTTAGAAGTCCGTTTTTTGCAACTGGCTTTTTAGGTATATACCTTTGCATTATTGTTTTAATAATTGCTCTAGAAATTATAGTGGGTTCTTTAATTAATTACAGTCTACTTAGAATTAATATTGTTCTACTTTACATAAAATATGGGAACCTTGCCTAGAATAGTTCCATTTACCACTATCCCATCCTTTGCCTTATTGCTGTTATATGTATTAACATCCACATATATTTAAATACCCGTAATAGAGTGTTACAATTTCTGCTTAAGCAATTATGTTTTAAAGGAAATTAAGAGATAAAGCATATTTAGTGTTTAGTATTTACCCACATATTTACCATTTATGGTGCTCTTCACTCCTTACTTTAGATCATTTTCTACCTGGTCTCATTTCCCTTCAGCCTGAAGAAACTCCCTTTAGCATTTTTGCTGACAACTAATTCTCTCAGTTTTCATATTTCTGAAAATGCCTATTTTCCCCCCCAGTTTTTTGATGGTTAGTTTAGCTGGATATAGAATGTTCATTTGACAGTTTTCCCCTCCAGCATTTAAAGAATTTTAAAGGCCTCCTGGACTCCATTATTTCTGATGAGAAGTCAGCTATCAATCGTATTACTGTTCTCATGTATGTACATAATATACACATCTTAATATCACATCTTTTCTCTGGATGTTTTCAAAATTTTATCTTTGGATTTCAGCAGTTTGTCTATGTGTGCTTGGTGTGGTTTTATTTATATTTATCCTGTTTGGGGTTCCCTGAACTTCTTAGATCTTAGTTTATGTCTTCCCTCAAAATTTGGACAATTTTGTGCACTATTTCTTTAAAATTTTTCTGTCCCCATCCTTCCTCTCCTTCTAGGATTCCAGTTACCACGTGTTGCATGTGTGTTAACCATCTATTCCAGTTACATGGATGTTAACCCATTTAATAATGTCCCCTCAGTTCCCTGAATCTCTATTCATTTTTCTTTAATGTTTTTCCTCTGTTCTTCAAATTGGACACTTTCTACTGAGGTATCTTCAAATTCCCTGACTCTTCTGCCATCTCCAATCTGCTGTCAAGCCTGTTCAGTGAATTTTTAAATTTTTTTATTTGCTGATCTTTTTGGTTGTAGGATTTCCATTTGATTATTACCATTTCTATTTCTCTGCTAAGATTTCCCCATCTGTTAGCTCATTTTCCTTTAAGTCCTTGAATGTATTTATAATAGCTGCTTTAAATTCTTTGTTTGCTAGTGTCAACATCTGGATAATCTTAGAATCAGTTTCAACTGACTGCTTTGCTTTTGAATATGGGTCACATTTTCATGTGTTGTCTCTTTTTTTCTCTTTGTCTAATTTTTTTATTGTATACTAGATATTGAGGATGATACATCATAGAGATTCATGATTCTATATGTTCCTCTGGAGTGTGTTGACTTTTATACTTGTAGGCAGTTAACTTGGCTAGGTTCAAACACCAAACTATTATTATTGAAACGGGAAGCAGCTGAAACCTCAGGTCAGCTCAGTTCTTTCACCTTCCAGTGGCTGCTTTCTACCAGGCTCCTTGGAGTCTCCTATATACATATGCAGTTTAGCTGACAATTAAGGATTTGAGTGGATTTTATAAGTAGAATTTAAGGATCATCCCTTCTGCATGACTTTCCTTTCTGAGACTTCCCCACAATTCTCCCACAACTCTACTAGGCCAGAACTTTGCCCTCCAATATCTCTATCTATTAGCACATGGTTTTCTGCCACCTTGCACCATGTGATTGTGAAACGCCCTCAGGCACTCGACTGCATCTAATCTTCCTTTTAACCTATTGTGATGGTTTTAAAATATGTTCACAAATTCTTTCACCCTCCTCTTTTGAGAGGTGAAGCTTAGTCTTCCTCTCATTGAGTATAGACTGGACCCAGTGTCTCACTTCTAATAAACTGAAAATGTGATGGAAGTGACACTGTGATTTCTGAGACTAAGTCATAAAAGGCACTGCTGCTGTTTCTTCCTCTTACTCTCTCTCATCACTTACTCTGAGGGAAACCAGTTGCCACGTTGTTAGGACACTCAAGCCTATGTTAGTCTGCTGAGGCTGCCATAACAGAATATCACAGACTGCGTGGCTTAAACAGAAATTTGTCTTCTCACCGTTCTGGAGGCTGGAAGTCCAAGCTCAAGGTGCCAGCAGGGCTTGTTTCTGGTGAGACCTCTTTTCCTGGGTTGCAAGTGGCCACCTTCTTGCTATGTCCTCATATGGCCTTTCCTCTGTGCATGTGCAGAGAAAGAGCATGCTCCAATGTCTCTTCCTCTTCTTATAAGGACATCAGACCAATCAGATTAGGATCCCACCCTTATGACCTCATTTAACCTTAATTATCTTCTCAAATGTCCTATATCCAAATATAGCCACATTTGGGGGGAGGGGGACCAAAATTCATTCCATAATACAGCCCTATTGAAAAGTCCAAGTGGTGGTAAACTGAAGCCTCTTGCCAACAGTCATGTGAGTGAGCCATGTTGGAAGTAAATCCTGCAGCCCCAGCTGATGCCTTGATTGTAATCTCATTAGAGACCCTGAACCAGAACCACCTGGCTAAGCCTCTCACAAATTCCTGACCCCAGAAACTATGAGATGATAAATATTTGTTGTATTAAGCTACTAAATTTTAGGATATTTAGTTACATAGCAATAAACAACTAATATACCTATCCATTCAAGGTGTTTTCTTTCTTTTAGGAAGTTTTATTAAAAAAAATAATCAGAGATATAGAAAAATATTTCCCTTCAAAGATGTTCAGTGCAGCAGTATTCATAATAGCAAAATTTAGAAACAATTTTAGTTTCAACAAAGGAATTAGAAGTCCATTCAGTTTGCTATTTCAGTGTTTATAGTTTCCATTTCTAGAAGTTCCTTTCCATTTTTTATCTGTTCATTCTTGATGGTTTCCTATATAAATTCATCTTTGTAATGTCATTTCTATTTCTTTGAACACTTCATAACAGGTATTTTTATATTCTGTATTTGTTAATCGCAAGTTACGCAATTCTTAGGAATTGAAATCTGTTGTTTCTTGCTTTTGTTTAACGTTCAGAGTAGTCCTCTTGTGTAATCCTTTTAAGATCCTATTTCTTTTAAAATGTGAGAGTTTTCTGGGTCAAGCAGGGAGAATTTCCTCCAAAAAGGGTTTGCCTCTGCTATCAGCCAGGAGTACTATTTCTCGGTCACCAAACCTCTTAAGCCTCCCTAGAGGAATTTTGCTTATAGAGAAAGTTTCACCCTCAACTTCTACTCCTTAATACATTTCCAGAGGTCAATGTATTGCTTAGTATTTAGGCCTCAGGGAACCCTTCCTTGCTGCCTGCATGTCTGAAAGGTCTCTCCACCTCCTCAACTCTTTGCTGCTCCAGCCACGAGTCCTGCTTCCGTTCATCTGATCTTAGTGATCCCTTACTCTGACCCTGGATGTTCCCAACCAGACCATGATCAGTCTTCCACTCTGGGCTCAATTCTTATTTGTTTGTTTGGAGTTGGGGTGGGGGTGCTCCCAAAGACCTCTGTGAAACCAGCAAGGCTCCACAGAAGGTGTTTGATTTTTTTTTTTTTGGATTGTGAGAATTTGTTGTAGATTATGACAGTTCCTCAAAGCTCACAATTATTTGTAACTCAGAAGCAAAACTTCCTTTTCTCTTTTGTGGTTTATCCATCCATTTATGTTCAACTGTCTGTATCTACATGTTTTAGACATATCTTATAAATAGCATATAGTTAGAGGGGTTTTTGTTTGTTTTTAATCCAGTCTAAAAGTCTTTGTCTTTTAACTAGAGCATATAGTCCGTTTGCATTCTATGTAAATACTGACATATTAGATTTAATTCTACCATTTTTATTTTGTGCTCTCTGTACGTCCTGCCTATTTTATGTTTATAATACATCAACTCCATTTACCCCGTTTCCAACTATATGTTACTATCTTTGTCAGTTCAGGATGCTGTAACAAATTACCACTGACTGGGTGGCTTAAAAAACCAGAAATTTATTTCCACGGTTCTGGAAGCTGGAAGAGTGAGATCAGGGTGTCAGCATGGTTGAGTCCCAGGGAGAAGCCTCTTCTAAGTTGCAAATGGCCGCCTTCTGCTTGTAGCATTACATGGCTGAAGGAGAGTGAGCTAGCTTTCTGGCCTCTTCTTAAAAGAGCACTAATCCCATTCATGAGGGCTCCACCCTCATGAGTTCATCACCTCCCAAAGACCCAACCTCCAAATACCATCACATTGGGAATCAGATTTCAACATACGAATTTGGGGGGGAAACAAATATTCAGACCATAACAGTCACCCTTATGTAACTCATATTTTATTTCTATATTTTTTCTTAACCCAGCAATACATTATCATTATGAATATTGTTATTATATTTAGTCAATGTTTCTTTAGATTTACTCATATTATTTGCCACTTTCTTCTTCATTCCTTATTGAATCTCAGATTTTCCATGTGGAAACAATCTTTCAGCCTGGAGTACAACCTTGAGAATTCTGCTTAGTCAGGACCTGCTAGGGCATTATTCTCTCAATTACCTTAAGCATGTTTTTATTTTGCTCTCTTTATAAAAATAATTTTTCTGAGTATAGCTTTTTTCTTTCAACACATTGATTATATTGTTTCACTACCTTTTGGATCCACTGTTAATGTTGAGAAATCAGCTGTCAACCTCTTAGACTTTTGAAGATAATCAGTCTTTTGCCTAGCTGTATTTGAGATTTTTCTCTGCAGCTTTCTGAAGTTTTGCCATGATGTATTTAGCTGCGTGTTTCTTTTCATTTATCCTGTGTGGATTCACTGGGCTTTTAGAAACTGTAAAATGGTACCTTTCAACAGTTCTGGAAAATTCACAGCAATTATCTCTTCAAATATCCCTTTATCTCTTTCTCTTTCACCTCTGCATCTGAGATGCCAACTTAAAATGCTAGATTTCTCCTTACTCTTTTTGGTATTTTTCCATATTTCCATACTGATTTACCTGATAAACCTATCCATTGATATTTTTGGTTTCTTTTATTGCAGTTTTTCATTTCAAGAAGTTCTATTTAGCTCTTTATCAAAAAATTTTATTGTGATACAAAGAACTCACACAACTCAACAATAAAAAATCAAACAACCCAATTACAAAATGGGCAGGGGACATGAACAGACATTTCTCCAAAGAAGATATACGGATGGCCAATAGACACATGAAAAGATGCTCATCATCACTAATCATCAGGGAAATGCAAATCAAAACTACACTAAGATATCACCTTACACCTGTTAGAATGGCAAAAATATCCAAAACCAAGAGTGACAAATGTTGGAGAGGCTGTGGAGAAAAGGGAACCCTCATACACTGTTGGTGGGAATGTAAATTGGTGCAGCCACTATGGAAAACAGTATGGAGACTCCTCAAAAAGTTAGGAATAGAAATACCTTATGACCCAGCCATCCCACTACTGGGTATCTATCCTAAGAACCTGAAATCAGCAGTTCCAAAAGTTCCATGCACCCCTATGTTCATCGCAGCATTATTCACAATAGCCAAGTCATGGAACCAACCTAAGTGCCCAGCAACTGATGATTGGATAAAGAAGATGTGGTATATATATACAACGGAATATTACTCAGCCATAAAAAAGGACAAAGTCGTCCCATTCACAACAACATGGATAGACCTTGAGGGGATTATGTTGAGTGAAATAAGCCAGACAGAGAAAGACGAACTCTGTATGACTCCACTCATAGGTGGTAGTTAACATATGGACAAAGAGAACTGATCGGTGGCTGCCAGGGGAATGGGGGGTGGGGGGAGGGCACTAGGGGTGAAGTGGTGTACCTACAACATGACTAATAATGATGTACAACTGTAATTTCACAAGGATGTTAACTTTCATAACCTTAATAAAAAAAGAAAAAAAATTTTATTGTGGTAAAATAATATAAAATTTACCACTTTAACCATTTTTAAGTGTCCAGTCTAGTGGCATTAAGTACATTCACACTGTGGTGCAACCATCACCACCATCCATCTCCAGAACTTTTTATCATCTCAAACTGAAATTCTGTCTCTATTAAACAATAACTCCTCATTCTCAAGCTGCACCCCTAGCCTTGGTATCCACTATTTTACTTTCTGTCTCTATGTATTTGACAATTCTAGCTACCTCATGTGAGTAGAATCATACAATATTTGTCCTTTTGTGACTGCTTTATTTCACTTGGCATAATGTTTTCAAAGATCATCCATGTTGAAGCATGGATTAGAACTTCCTTCCATTTTAAAGCTGAATAATGTTCCATTGTAAGTATATGCCATGGTTTGTTTGTCCATTCACCCACTGTTGGACATTCAACCACTGTGGGTTGTTTCCACCTTCTGACTGATGTGAATAACGCTGCTGTGAACATATGTGTACAGGGGCTGGCCCTATGGCCGAGTGGTTAAGTTTGCATGCTCTGCTTCAGTGGCCCAGGGTTTGCCAGTTTGGATCCTGGGCACAGACCTATACACCGCTCATCAAGATATGCTGTGGTGGCATCTCACATGGAGGAACTGGAATGACTTACAACGAGGATACACAACTATGTACTGGGCCTTAGGGGGAGAAAAAAAAGAGGAAGATTGGCAATAGATGTTAGCTCAGGGCCGATCTTCCTCACACACACAAAAATAAGTATACAAATATCTGTTTGAGTCCCTGCTTTCAATTCTTTTGAGTATATACCTAGGAGGGGAATTGATAGATCATATGATAATTCTATATGTAACTTTTTGAGGAACTGCCCTAATGTTTCCCACAACAGTTGCACCATTTTACATTCCCACCAATGCACAAAAATTCCAATTTCTCCTCATCTTCACCAACACTTGTCATTTTCTGTTTTTGATAATAGTTATCATAATCAGTGTGGTCTCTCATTGTGATCTTGATTTATATTTCTGTAATGATTGATGATATTGAGCATCTTTTTTTGTGCTTATTGGCCATTTGTATATCTTCTTTGGAGAGATGTCTATTCAAGTTCTTTGCCCATTTTTTTAGAGTGGTTTTAGGTTCACAGCAAAATTGAGGGGAGGGTACAGAGATGTCCCATATACCCCTGTCCTCATACATGAATAGCTTCCCCCATTATCAACATCACCCATCAGAGTGATACCTTTGTTTAAAGCAAACTCCTCATTTAAAGCCAAAACAAAACAACAATGCAAAATTTTTTTATTAAGACTTTATTGTTTTAAGCAGTTTTAGGTTCCCAGCAAAACTGAGGGGAAGATACATAGATTTCCAATATGCCACCTGCCCCCACACATGCATAGCCTCCCCCATTTTCAACATCTCCCACCAGAATGACATGTTACAAGTGATGAACGTACACTGACATATCATAATCATCCAAAGTCCATAGTGTGTAGTATGGTTAACTCTTGATGCACATTTTACCAGTTGAATAAAATGCATCATGGCATGTATCCATCATTATGATATCACACAGAGTATTTTCACTGCCCTGGAAAAGCTCCATGCTCTGCCAGTCAGCCCTCCCCCTGCCAACCACTGATCTTTTTACTGTCTCTTTAGTTTTGCCTTTTCCAGAATGGCATATATTTGGGATTGTACAATATGTAGTATTCTCAGATTGCCTTCCTTCACTTAGTAATATGCATTTAAGGTTCTTCCATGTCTTTTCATAGCTTGATAGTTCATTTCTTTTTTAGTGCTGAATAATATTCCATTATCTGGATGTACCAAAGTTTATTTATCCATACACCTACGGAAGGACATCTCAGTTGCTTCCAAGTTTTGGCAGTGATGGATAAAGCTGCTATAGACACCTGTGTGCAGGTTTTTCTGTGGACGTCGTTTTCAACTCCTTTGGGTAAATACCAAGGAAAGCAATAGCTGGATTATATGCTAAGAGTATGTTTAGTTTTATGAGAAACTTCCAAGTTATCTTCCAAAGGTTCTGCACCATTTTGCATTCCCACTAGCAATGAATGAGAGTTCCTATTGCTCTACATCCTCTCCAGTATTTAGTGTTGTCAGTGTTCCAGATTATGGCCATTCCAAAGGCGTGTAGTGGTCTCTTGTTTTAATTTGCATTTCTCTGATGTAGATGTGAAGCATCTTTTAATATGCTTATTTTTAATTGGTTTGTTTGTCTTTTAATGTTAAATTTTAGGAGTTCTTTACATATTCTGGATATTAATCCTTTATCAAATAGGCCATCTGAAAATGTTTTCTCCCATTCTGTGGTTTGCATTTTCACTCTATTGATAGTGATCTTCGATGCACAAAAGTTTTAAATTTTGATAAAGTCCGATTTATCTATTTTTTTCTCTTGTTGCCTGTGTTTTTGGTGTCATATTCAAGAAATCATTGCCAATCGAGTGTCATGACAATTTCCCCCTATGTTTTCTTCTAAGTGTTTTATAGTTTTAGTTCTTCTAGGTCTTTGATCCTTTTTCAGTTAATTTTTGTTTACCTTTGGAGTTAGGAGTCCAACTTCATTCTTTTGCATGCGGATACCCAGTTTTCCCAAAACCATTTTCAAAAAGACTATCCTTTCACTTAAACAGTCTTAGCACCCTTACTGAAAGTCATTTGACCATATGACTGTTTCTTTCTGGGCTCTCCATTCTATTTCATTGGGCCGTCTGTCTGTCAGCACCACACTGTTTTGATTACTGCAGCTTTGTGGTATATTTTGAAATCGGAAAGTTTGGGTCCTCTAACTTTGTTCATCTTTTTCAAGACAGTTTTGGCTAATTGGGGTCTCAAGACTTCATATGAATTTTAGGATGAGTTTTTCTATTTTTACAGAAAATGTCACTGGGATTTTGATAGAGATTACATTAAATCTGTAGATTGCTTTGGGAAATATTGACATCTTAACAATAATAAGTCTTCCAATCCATGAATGTGGGATATTTTACACCTGTTTATGTCTTCTTTAATTTCTTTCAGCAATGTTTTGTAGTTTTCAGTGTACAAGTCTTTTGCCTCCTTGGTTATATTTATTCCTAAGTATTTTATTCCTTTTGATGTTATTATATATGGAATTGTTTTCTTAATTTCCTTTTGGATTATTTATTGTAATGTATAGAAATGTCTTCATTAAATTTTTAAGGTCACTTTTTATAGTCTCCTACTCCCTGCAGATAATTTCAATCTGGTCTTTTATTTTTTCAAACATACTAAGTGTAGTTATTTTATGACCAGTTTCTGATCATTCTGATAACTGAAGTCTCTGCACGTCTGTTTTTGTTGGTTCATGCTCATGGCCCTCTGTATCCTTGTGTGCTTGGTTACTTTTGACTGCTTTCTGCTTGCTGTCCTTGAGAACTTATCTGTGGGAATTCTTTGAAGCCTAAAATAAAATTGTCCTCCTCCAAGGAGGATTTGTTATTTCTTCCAGGCATTTATGGGCACCATGGTATATAACTAATTTATGTCAAATTCGTAGTTTGAAGTTTGCTGGACCACTCAGATAATACGCCTAGGTTGCAATCTATGTAAGAGCTGTCCTGGGCCACTACTTCTTGGGGACAGGCTTTATTACTCTTCTTTTTCTCCACTCCTCCACTAAACATCAAGACAACCTTCCCTGAATTCCCCTAGACATGAGTTTATCTCTGGTTCATACTCCTATCAGTCTCTCATCCTTTGGTGGACCACACACTCTGGTTTCTCCTCACCGGGAGAGTATACCTAGGACCAAAATGCAAATTACTAATGCCCTCAGGGTAAAAGTGGCTTTGGAGCTCTGGAAATCCATTCACCTGGTTTTCCATTTTTCCTTCAATTTTGGTCTCATAGTTACTATTATCATGTCACCTCTTTGATGCTTTTAAGGCAGAAGTTTTACACTCTAGCCAGCATTTTTACTTGTATTCAGCAGGAGAGCTGGTCCAAATAACCTAGCCCACTATTATCAGAAATTCCAGCAATTATGTTTTTTAAAAACCCTCCCTACCATCCTCTCTCTCTTTTCTCTCTCATAGTCAAACTTCTTAAAATAATTGTCTATATATGCTGTAACCACTGCCACCTCCCATTCACTCTTCAACCCACTCCAAAGGTGGCTTCTGCCTCAAATATTCCTTTCAAAACTGCTCTAGCTAAGGTCACCTATGAGCTCTATGTTGCAAATATCAATGGATAGTCATTGCATTTGATCCCTTAAGCAGAATTAGAGAGAGTTTGTCATTTTTTTCTTGTTAAAATACTCTTTCTTGATATTCATGGCAGCACATTCTTACGGTTTTATTCATATCTCTCTGACTGCTCTTCCCTAACTGATTCACTGCAATGGGATTTAACAGTAAACGCTCTATATTCTGTTCTTCCCTTCACTTTTAGAAATTATCTGAGAAATTTTACCTAACAGACATAGGCACCACAATCTATTTGTAAAAACTATTATGGTATTTATCATGCCATCAATAGTTATATCTCTTTAAAGCTGTTTCAGAACAAGTCCATAACTAAATATAAGCCTTGAGTGAGTAACTGGCTGTTAAATAAATCAATGAATAAACAAATGAGCAAATGTTAATGTGGTGTTGCCTTCACTCTCAATTATATTTTGGCCAATTTCTTGAAAAGCAGGTGCAAATCAGGGACAAATTTGCAATGTTTTTACACACTGGATAAAATGTACTTCCTAGGAACCTATTATTAACACAAAAGGTCCATCCATTAAAAATTACATGTAACTTACATTCAAAATACCCTAATAAGTTATACAGTGTATACGAATACCAAAATTAAATATGTAAAATAAGAAAAATCACAGGGGTTTTAATTTGGGAGAACTAGTGGGAAGAAGCTGTTTCTCTAAGTCGGAAAGTGATCATTTTACTTGCTAAAAAAAGAAACAAAAGGCTCTGGTTAATAAGGTAGCTTTAGACAGAGGAGCAGCCTTCAAAGGAATAAATGGAAGTCTAACAGAGCTTTTGCCATCAGGTAGGGACACTCCAGGGACAACTGGTCTTTCTCACAACAGATGCGACTACTAGGGTTTCCCTTTTGTTCTTTTTTTAAGGTAGTGGGGCAGGATACTTAAATTGAATTACACTTGCGCTAAAGTTGCTGGTCTGTTTCTTAAGTCAGAAATGGTGCAGCAATAAGATTTCCAGGATTCGGGCGTGAAACGCAACCCCGAACAACTCTGAACGCTTCCTCCGGCGACAAACCAAAGTCTTGAGCGTTGAAAAAATGGCGTTCTCCTACAGTTAATTTGGATTTCTCTCAAATCTTGACAGAGACGCACGCAAAATTTGGCTCTTACCCCGAAAAGATGTTCGAACCTAACTCCTGTGGGCCGCCCTCCCCATTCGTGCTCACCCTCGGGCCCAGCCCGGTAACCCAGCGGGGACCCCAGAGTGGCCGGCGGGCCTCGACCCCCACCTGCATGGTGTCCCGCCTCGCCCCTCACGCTCCTGCGTCGTCCGGCTCCTGGCGAGGGCCTCCCGACTCTGACCCGGCCTCCTCCAGCCGGGAAGGGAGCCTGGCCCAGCCTAGCGGTTTCCACTGCTCCCGCCGAGGGCGAGGCAGAACAAGAACCGGGCGCAGCTCTGTTGCCAGGCAACGCGGAGGCGTGGCTGTGAACAAGGACGCACCAGGTCTTGGGGTATCTATCCCAAGCGGTGCCATTCCGGTTTGCCGTGTGGTACTGGTGCTGGCATTCCTCCCATCTTTCCCTCCACTATCACCAAATCAACGCGTTGTTTCCGAGCCTCTGGCACTCGTCAACCCCTGAGTCCTGTCTTCATGGAGAAATAACAAAATAGTGGGGAAAGAACCTTTCAGAGGAGGAGTTCTTAACCTGGAGCCCATAGCCTGTATTTGGATAGATTTCAGGGGATACCTAGCCCCAGCCCTCAATTCTACTCATAATTTTGTTGGATGTGTACATTTTTGGGGAAAGTTAAGGACCAGAGCTTTCATCAGATTTTCAAATGGCTTTCCACTCTCATCTTATAAACCCACTGCCTTAGGAGACAGGAGCTCTGGCTTTAGGTAGGAAACCTAGACAGTTGGCTTCCTTGGTGTTTGGGTTAAGGAAAGGATGTTTACTGAGAACTGCCAGGAACATGGGGAAAACATTTGACGTTACTGCCAAATAAAGTTATACACATAGTCACAGAGATATACTGATAGGATTTAGAAAAGAAGAAAAAAATGTTTTAATGACACAATTTTAAACTTGGGTTCAGCATTGGACCACTCCATCTTTAGTGCCCAGTTAATACTTGATACAAATGCTATACTCTTAGTAGCTTATATATTGTTATGTTTGCATATAAGATATTAATCCATTAAATATAAAATATTTTTAAATATCCCACAATTTTTGTAACCATGTTTGGGTATTTCTTCTTCTTCTTTTAATATCATGGGGAGCCCTAAAAAACGTATGTGGCCTAACTGTCTCTGGATTTCTGAGGGGCCCTGGGAACTGATTAAATTAGAATTTGGGTCCCTTTTCTTATTTCGACAATTTAAAATCCAGGCTAGTTGCATCACTGTACGTCACACTAGCTAATGTTGCCCTATACATCTGTGGCTTTAGAGTAGGAGGTCCTGTCTGCTCTCAAGTCCTTATCTTGTCAAGGCAATTCATTTTTTAAAGAAGAATGTACCTTTTGTCCTTTTCTGCTCCTTCTTTCCTTATGTTCTTCACACGGTTGCCAAGAAGTGAAATTCAGGGACTTTGTTAGTAAAAGGCATAATTTAGGCTATTAATCAGTCATCAACATTAGTAAGACAAAGTTTGTTAGATACCATAAAGAATGTAAGACATAATCCTACCAGAAAGCTGCCTTTCTCTAATCAGCCAGCAGCCTGCTTGGTGGAGTAAGTAGGTGGTTATCCAAGAGGGATATCAGAAGGAAAAAACTCAGGGGAACCTGAAGAAAGACATCTCAACATCCATCTAAGATTAATTCTGTGTCCACTAAAGACTGATTTGATGTAAAAAGTTCTCTAAGTGTGTTCACAATCCTCCATGAGTAATATTGTTTTTTTTCTGGTAATGGACAAGACTGGTTGCCTTTTAGCTATTACAGGGTGAACCAACTTATTTTAAGATAAACTGCATACTACCAGTTGGTAGAAAAAGCTAGCCTCCTGATATGTTTGTAGCAATCAGACATCTATTTTACAGTATGTAAATCAGAACTTGCTTTCTGGATTACTGGATGGATCATGGCCAAATTCTCCAACTAGTGTAGTTTTAGTTGGTATTCACATTCTAAGATTGTTAGCTACTGGACATTCTGGTATTTATAAGAGCTGGTTATTTTGTCACTGATGAAATCCAAATAGGATAAACTAAAATAGTTCATTAACACTCAATTCTATACTGAGTGCCTTTAATAAAAATAAAAGAGCAAGTGACCAGTACTGTCAAAAGCTTCGGAGATCTAAGGAACATAATTATTTACAGCTTTATTACATACTATCATTACAACACTAGGAAAAAATATTTTAAGGTTTTTAAAAATTTTCAACAAATTAAACATTTATAATCTCAGTCAATTTTTTGAGAATGTTTACAACACAAGGATTCTCAAACATGATAAACTTAGCAAGGATTGTTTTTGAGAAGAAAACAAAACATCAGTACATTTTGTATTTCATGGCGTTGTTTCTGTGGAAAATAGTTGGTATCCTGTAAAAAAAGAAAAATTGAATTTAGATTCAAGTATAAATGTGTATGCGAATGTGTATATAATGTTTGCATATAGACATTTCTATAAATACTTTGTCATGGATGATAAAATTGACATTGGAGCTATTTCTCAGCTATTCTTCAGTCCGTATATTTTTAGCTATCATTTAATTTCTCTCTGATGGAACACTTATTCTGTCTGTATTTTCCAAAATTTTACTGTATTTACCTACAAAAAAGTAGTTTCCTAAAGCTCATTAATGCCAGTAAGTTTTATAAATAAAATATTTCAAAAGTTGCACAGTTATTCCTTACGTATTTATTTCCTGTGTATTTGCAATTAAATCATTCTATTTTAGCTCTAACCACTTTCTAAGTAAATATAAGTCATCTGGACAGAGTAAGACCTCAGATAACCACATGAGAAAAACAAAGAAAAAAATGATTACTAAGTATTTCTCTATTGACAAAATAAAATGAAATCCTGAGTGAATTAGTCTATGTAGCCCTTAATCTTGGAAATAATCCAAATAAAGCTATTTTTCTCAATTTCAAAGAGAATTTTTTACTAAATTGATCAAATCATGAATTAAATTCCATTTCATTTTAGTGAGGACCCTAACACAGTTTGGTGTTCCAATCGCAGACATTTTTTCCATTTTAGGGTTAAACTATTTTTTGTTCACATTTTGTAAATGACTCTATATTTTTAACACTATAAAAGATAGTTTCTTTTCCATTAACTCTTTGTTCTTAGTTCCTTGAAAAAAGAAAAAATTAAGAATATGTTTGCTCATATTCCTGATGTGAACATAACAAGCTTTTGCTGAAACAGGAGTTAATGCCAAACTCAGAGTGAAAATTTAAGCTCCTAATTATGCCCTATGAGCATATTAAATTTTTTTCCTCACTTTTTCAATATTTGTATCTTTTATTTATTTCTTATCTAACTGAATTGGCTAATGCATAAAAACTACATTAAATAAAAGTTGACAGATCATCCTCGTTTTCTTCCTGACATTAATAGAAATGCTCCAAAGCTTTTCACCATTAAGCCTGCTATTGACTTTGAGACCATCTATAAATGACGTTAATAAAGATTCATCTCTTTCTACAGGCTCTTCTTTTAAAACATCAGAAATTGATGTGGAATTTTAGCAAAAGCATCTATTGAGATGATCAAATAATTTTTCTTCTAACGATGAAAATATTTGAATAGCCTTCCTCATGTTGAACCATCCCGAGTTGCTGGAATACACTTCATTTCATGGGGTCATATAGTTTTTTGAATATACTGCTGAATACAACTTACTAATATTTCTTTAAAATTTCTGCATTGATATTTATAAATAGGATTGACCTACAGTTTCCTTCTTTACACTACTTTTATAAGGTTTTGGTACTAATATTTGTTGGCTTCATAAAAAGTATTTTGAGATTTTCTTCCTTCTTTGAGCTGGAAAAATTCAAAATCTATTGGCCTAGTACTTTTGAGGGAAGAGTTTCTAGAGAATATTTTAATTTTTTTCCATGGCTATTAGACTGTTTAAATTTTTTCCTTTCTTCTGAGGTCAGTTTGGTAGCACCTGCTTTCCTAGACAATCCTCCATTTTACCCCCGTTTCAAACTGACAGGCACAGAGATTTGCAAACTACTTTTTTATGATTTCCATTTCTTCTATATCTATTCTCATTTCGTTTGTATTTTTGTATATTTATGGTTTCTCCCTTTTTTCTTGATTAGGGTAGGCTAATTAGGCTATTTTATTTTATGTTTTGCAAAGAAGCAGATTGTGCTTTGTTTACCAATTCTTCTATATTACTAATTTATAACATGAATTTTATCTTTCATTTTATAATTTTCTTCCTTTTGCTTTCCTGAGGCTCACCTTGTTGTTCTTTTTTAATTTATTAAGTTAAATCCTTAATTCACTCATTCTTTCTTGCTTCACAGTGTATAAAGCCTTGAATTTTCCACTGAATATGGCTTTGGCAGAGTCCCCTAAGTTTTAATAATGCAGTGTTTTCATTATATTTATTTTCCAGATATTGTATACTTTTGCAGTTACCTTCTTTAGTTAGAAATAGTGCATTTTAATTTTTGTTTCTATGAGAAAATATTAAGAATTTTAACATTCTTAAGCTAAATAAGTAAGGGTTGAGATAAATGATACGAATGAAATATTTGCAAAAATATTTTCAGCATACAGGATTTAGGATTACCTTAAGTTAGTAGAACATACTTTTATTTCTGTGGTGTAAATTTATCAGTCTTCATTTGGGTTTAATTTCAAAATTCGTAGTCTAGTAAGATATTAGGATTAACATATTTATTAAACATGTAGAGTCATGGGGCCCGCCTGCTGGTATACTGGTTAGGTTGATGTGCTCCACTTTGGCAGCCTGGAGTTCATGGGTTTGGATCCGGGGCGCAGACCTAGCACCACTCATCAAGCCACACCGTGGCGGCATCCCACATAAAAAAAAATAGAGGAAGACTGACACGGATGTTAGCTCAGAGCCAATCTTCCTCACACACACACACACACACAAACCATGGAGGGTCATTCAATAGCTACGAAGTGTCTACTACATCTCCAGCATTGACGTGGAAACTCTGGGAGTCCTAAAGTAGAAGTCATGCTATCATGTCTTTCCACATTTTCTTAGTTCTCTAGAAATGGTAAACCATAGCTTTTATAAAGAATCTTGGAATACAGGTCATTTAGAAGACAGCAACGCATTCAGTCTTTAAGTTCTGGCCCATTATTGTGGACACTGATTACCATGATAAGAACACAATCCCTGCCATATACTACTTGCACAATAAACGATGATAAGGTCAATGTCTACAAAATCAGTGATGACTATTGTGGGACACACAACATGGGCAATGCAATTCGGGCCCTATGATGCTGGCATTTCCCATCATACAAAGCCTTCACAGCCCCTATAATTGTAGTATTTATATAGAACATTAACGTACACATGCAATCAAATAATGGAAATATACTGAGCACAGTTTAATTTGTGAATATCTGAAAACAAAATTTTCAAACTGGGTTGAATTGTGAAGCGCATACCATTTTAAAGGTAACGTTCCGACCTTCTTCCATTGCGTGGCTGGAAAAAATAAATTAGAAACAAATCAGTGTAACTAAGGTGGGAAGTTAATTTTCATAGAGAGCAGCCTAATGATCTCAATGTGTGGTATTATTTCATCCTTTGGTTTTCCTCCTTCCTTTAACCCATTCTCCAATAGTTTTGAAAATGCAAATATTACCATGTGGTTCTCCTTAGTCTTTACAATAAAGTTGAAATTCCTTAGCTAAGTATTTCATTGGCTAATTCCTGTTGAGTCTTCAAATTCAGCCCTTAAAGCCTTCTCTGTACCTCGTCCACTCCCTGGCCTGGTTAAGTGCCTCACTTCTAGAAACCATAGCCCCTGGATTGAAGGTGCATTTACCAGAGTATTTTGTATTTGTTAATGTATCAATTTCCCGTTTTTGGCTGTAAACACCTACAGTGTAAGAATGGAATCCTGTCTGTCTTTATATTCCCAGCCTTTGGTACATTGCCTAGCACCCAGTAGAAATTCAATAAATAGCTGCTCAATGAATTGAGACAAAAATCTCTGCTAATGTATTAAGGATACAAACATTTTAGAAAGTATAGTTGCTCAGAAAGAAATTCACGTTTCATAGACAATTTGGACATACAAAATACTAAATGCAATTACAAAGCTTTGTCTACTCATAGCTTCTCTTTTAGTTGCTTCTTTTATTTTTAAAACCTTATGAAAATAGTCATACCTCTTCCGATCTCCTGAATCAAACATTTAGTAAATGATTCTTTGGAACTTAAGGAGTAATGCATCTTTTAGACACTCAATGCCTGCACATGAAATGGTATGGAACTCAACTGTGAAAAAGGTGAATGTCATAGGGGGATTTACAAACATAAGCAGTGGAGTAGAGAAGAGATCAGAGATGCCGTAATATTAAAGCAATAAGGAGGTAGAAGAAGTGAATCTCAGACTGTAACACTTGATGTCAAATATGTATAAATAAACTTCAAAACTTAGTTGAAACTTATGAGCTAATATAAATAAATGCACAGTGAAAGTATTTTTTAATTTTGATATTGATGATTTTTTTTAATGAGCATACCCTGAATAGAAAATATCTTCGACTTTGACTTTCAAAAGGGCCTTGAAGTTCTTCCTAGAAGAGAAAATGAGGGTATTACAAATCAAATAACAGTAAAAATAAGTGCAAATTCTTCTTGAAGGTATAGTGAAGCTCAAAGTTATTTTCAACTATCATAATTAAACAAAGATGGAAATCAAAGACTTGAGTATATAATTCATATCAATAAGTAATCTTTGCATTTATACCTGAAGAATTTTCCATAACTAGCAGTATCATCAAAATGTTGCATTTTAAAATAATTCTCTTATCAATATAACAGATTCTATTTTCAGGAAGTTTGTCAGTTGTACATATAGTCATCAATAAGTAGAAAGAAAAGACAGACACTTCATAGATAATTAACTATATTTAAAATCTCCTTTCAGCATTTTGTTAGAGTGAAATAATTTCTTTAAAATACATATTGTATGTGTTAACACATGACCTGGGAAAAATATAAAACAGGATTGTGTCAGAGCTAAAATACACAATATTTCTATAGGAATTTAAATTGAAATTGAGGGACAACTTTGGTAAACTATATTTGTTCAATGGGACTTCAGAAGAGATTTTCCCAATATAATTATATTTACAGGAATGTTAATGAAAAATACCAAGCAGGACAAACCAATTATTCATAGTGGATATATTTTGAAGTGTTTTCTTAAAACATTTCATTTTAAACATAACGGAAAAAAATAACTTTTTATGGTTTCCATAAAATTGGTTCCTGTAGCTTCCTATTTTCAACAACTACTTTTTAAAGAAGTATCAGGAAGGCAATCACTATGACATTTGTCATCAAAACCTTTTTCAATTATTCCATAATATAAGTACAATTATATATGCATATATATATATATATATATATATATATATTTCTTTTTTTGAGGAAGATTAGCCCTGAGCTAACATCTGCTGCCAATCCTCCTCTTTTTGCTGAGGAAGCCTGGCCCTGAGCCAACATCCTTGCCCATCTTCCTCTACTTTGTATATGGAATGCCTGTCACGGCATGGCTTGACAACAGGTGTGCAGGTCTGCACCCAGGATCCAAATCGGTGAACTGGGGGCCACCAAAGCAGAACGTGTGAACTTAACTGCTGCACCACCAGGCTGGCCCCACAATCATATTTTTAAATTCTAAGAAATGGCTCTGATATCTATTAAAATTCTGAAATCCTTGCTTTACAAGAAATATACCTTAAATTCTCAATATTTTGTACCTAATTCTCATGTTGACCATAAACCCCTCAAATTACTTAGAAGATTGAAAATTTTAATATTTAAAAATGTGCACATAGAAACTATATATTTATATGCTTATATAAGAAGGTGTGTATATTATATTAAACACAAAAAAATGTAGGCCAAAATGTTACTTAAAACGTGCCAAAATTTAAAACTTTCAAACCCAAACATACAGGTCTTTTTAGTCTTATCATTGAAGATAGAACTGCAGAAAGATAAAAGAATTTAGGAAGTAGAGGTAAAAAAGATGGGATGGAGGTGAGGATGTTTAGCAAACAAAATTTAAGAAAAGTATTTGAATGCACTAAGGTCTGAAAACTCATTTTCTTTAAGAAGCCAAAACATTTTGCTATCAAAAATATGTTTTAAAATTAGGTGACTTAAGCCAGCAAAGTTAACACTCTACTGTAATTTTTTTTTTCTATTCATGTCTTATATTCTTTTCTTTCATAGGTTCCTAGGAAACTTGGCTTGTTGCGAAGTACTTCTAGAAGTTATCATTTGTCCATCAGGATATACTACCATGTCAGAGTCCACATATTCAGCTAGTTTTCTGGAAACATAGTCTCATTCAAGGTGAAAGATTCAGACAAAGTACCAAATTGGCCACAATACTGAGTGCTTAGCTTTGATATATAATGACCTTGAAGTGATATAGTAAACTAATAATTTGTTGGTGTATTTTAGGAAACAGGATTTTTACATCAAAATCTTATACTATTCATAAGTCAAGCAAAGTCTCCAGAAAGTACAAGTTAATCGGAAAAAGCATATCTTATTTCTAGAAAGCCTGATGACAACTGACTTTATTCTTTTTCATACTGGAAATTCTAAAATTTTTAAGAGGCTACTACAGTTCCTCTTACATTTCTCATTTAGGTTGGCAGCAGATGCTGTCTCGCTTGATGGAAGCTTAGTTTAAGCATGTGAAGAATTTAGGGAGGAAATAGTGACCATAAAAATAAATTTTGAGGAATTTATTTGCCTAAGCTGTTTGCATTTTAAAAAGTATTTGAAGACTTTTGGTAGAACTTTAAGAAGAATGAAATTAATACGGTATTTAAATTAAGGAAAAACCTAACACTAAAATAATAGAAGTATCCAAGATTAGATTATACAAGGAACAACACAGTGAACAAAATATTTGCCTAGACCAGAAGTCAGAATACTGTTGTAACCTCTAATATCACTTACTAGAATGATCTTGGAAAGCATCTTTAACTATTCTGGGTTGTTTTCCCCTTTCTAAACTGGGAATGAAAATACTTGTATAAGTACCATCAGAGTTGCCAAAAGAATAAAGTGACCTAATATAAGACTTAACCCTGTAATGTATTACAAGAATATAAGGCATGCTTAAAGATAATACCTAGAAACTTTCATCACTGAGGATTCTTTTTAATGACAATAAAAACTCCACAACTTCTAGTTAAAATTCCCTTATATTCATCTTAAACATAGACACTGGATTTGGGCCATATTTTTGTTAGTTGTAGAGAAAACAAAATGCTTACATTGAGTTTCTGATGTATTTATTTCACGAGCCTTACTCTTACCAACATTTTAATACTTGGATAGAAAGCTTGCCATCCTAGCCATCTGCCAACGTGTATACAAAGGGGCAGTAAACTGTCCTTTACCTTTTCGCCTATTCCTACCTAACAACTAGGCACTTGTCATGTCCTTTCTTAAACCAAGAACAGTCTTCCTTCCTGGGAGGGTCATGGCCTTGGAAGGGAAATCCTATTCTCAGCTTTCTTCATCGCCCACAGCCTGAGTTAGGAGGGACATAACATGCAAAGGGGGCACCCTTCTCTTATTCCTGATTGTGAAAACACTTCTGTGAACAGATGCTCTTCCGTGGGCTAACTGGGCGTTTATGTAGGGCTGATCCTGAAGAAGAGTATTTTACAAACCAGCACAGCTGGGAATTAACAGAGAGGGCTGCCCCACACAGAGTGGTAAAGCCAGCATGCAGTTCGTGTTACGTACGTCCACTTTGAATCTCTTCATTCTTCTCTCATGCAGTTGAGGAACGAGCTGCAGCAACGGATGCACGACAGACGACTGAGAGACACGAACACACACACATGATGAGCACAAAGGCTTCTCGGCATTAGGCATAAAGATGGTTTCCTATTGGTTTGTTTTTGGTTTTGGTTTTACCCACTATTCTTGCTCCAGACAGAAAAGAACAAGAAAGACGTTATCTAAGACAGCCCTTTGTGAGCACTTCGAAGAACTGTAGAGAATAAGCCAAGAGAGGGAATTAAATTTGGTAGCTCCATGCTAGGATCTTTGTCACTATGTTGAAGAAGCACTTTCCTGAGGGCCTCAGCTCCATCATCAGCTGTCAACAAGTACATCACCCACCTGCATCCTTGAGAGGCAAAAAGCCGTCTGCTCCTAGACTTACTCAGAATGATTTGGGGCAGATGAAACCAACTCTGTGAGAATAAGTTTTCTATTATGAAAATGTTTATCCAGAAGATTATACTGCATACACATCTAGTAATCCCCTTTATTTGTTTATTTATTTTATCTTTTGAGGAAGATTAGCCCTGAGCTAACATCTGCCACCAATCCTCCTCTTTTTGCTGAGGAAGACTGGCCCTGAGCTAACACCCATGCCCATCTCCCTCTACTTTATGTGTGGGACGCCTGCCACAGCATGGCTTGACAAGCGGTGCGTAGGTCCGCACCTGGGATCCAAACTGGCGAACCCCGGGCCACCGAAGCAGAACATGTGAACTTAACCACTGCGCCACCGGGCCAGCCTCTAGTAATCTCCTTTATAAAATACATTTTTTAAAATTGAACATATGGAACAAGACAACAAGGGACACCAAAAAAATGGCAATAGGTCGTTGATCGTGAAAAACATGACTAAGATACATTTTCTCAAAATATAAAGATGCCAAGCAGAAGAAAATGAAAGCACACTTGAGACATGTGGCTACCTGACAAAGTTTCATTTTAAAGGCATGGCTTGAACTGAACCTTCTCACAAATATTAAATTCATTTATCAAATGGATTACTTTAAGCCCTATATAGTGGTTATTTGTTAACCAACTCAACTTGTATTTGGTTTAAGCCAGTATAACCTAACTTTCAACACCTCATGTGTAAGAATATTCAGTGTCATAAACGTTTAACACTGAATTTAAGATTATAGTTACCTTCCCCAGGTACACAGATGTTTAAAATACACTGTGCTCGTCATTCCCTAAACTGGTCTATGGTAGTGAGTCACAAGCTTAGAAAGAATATGATAGTCAAATAATTATTAAGTATCCTAAATTGAAACACCAAGGTAGGTTAGTTAGCATTTTTAAAATCCATGCATAGAAAAAGAAAAACTACCACTAGAACCACACAATTTAGAAGTGAACTGAACTCAAGTTACTGGTATCCAGCTAATCTTAGAGAGTAAATTCTCCCATTAAATGCCTAATTATGCATAAGATCTTAGGAATAGAAGTGGATATTTCTAGTTCTATTTAATTACACTTTTGACATTCACCTTTTAAAGTAATTCTTAAAATGCCTTTGGATAAAACTGTTTTTCCTTTGCATTAATCACCACCTAAAACAATATGTTTTACTTATTTCCTTTTTTGGCCTTTTGAATGTAAGTTCCATGAGAGCAGGGATTTCTTTTTTAATTTCCTATTGTATTTACTGCTATATTTCTACTACCTAAAATTGTGCTTGGCATATAGTAGATATTCAGTAAATAACTGTTGAATGAATGAATGAATGAATTTAATATACATGTAGTTATTGAGATATAAAAGAAATTAAATGTATAATAAATATTGAATTCCATTTGTTCATCTACGTGTAAACTTTTAAAGTAAAAAACATGAATTTTGGTCTAGCTTTATTAGATAAACTGCAAAAACAGGTTTTTTCTAAAAAAGCAAATACTAGTGATTACTAATAAAAAGTCATTCTAAAACTTACCACAACATTTGAATTGCCCAACTTCCGTGTCTTTGAATAATGAAATAAGAACTGTTAAAAAAAAGTAGTGAGCTTTACTATAGACAATTAGTGGTTTCTTTATTATTTTTTAATGTATATATTTATGGAAATCACCTTACCCTTTTGGTATTATCTTTTTCATCTGTTTCCTATTGACAAGAGAGATATATAAATATCATTATAGTATATATTATTATAATATATGTAGTACAAAATTTACAATATATTATGAGATTATATAATTTTTAAAAACATGACACATATGTTACATACAAAATACAACTGAAATTGGTTAAGCAAATACTGCTCTAAAAATAAACAAGACATTAATTAAATACTGTTTATAAATAAAAGTGTGAATAAAGATCTTTACTACAGCATTATTCGTAAGAGAAAAAAACTGGAAACATCCTAAATGTTCGACAGTGGTAGAACGGGAAGTTATGACATGATCACATGAGAAAATCTTCAGAGAAAAAGACAAGAAGGAATCAGATCAAAATATTAGTAATTATCACTAAATAAGTGAGTTATTTTATTTATGTGTTATTTTTGCTTTCTTCCATAAACTTTATATTCCTCTCTCCCTCCAAAATCCTATCTTTTCAAGAACAAGTCATATCATTCCTTTTTTGTTGTTCTCTTTTGTTCTCATTTGCTTTTAATATAAAAGGAAACTCACGGACAAACATTTCTTTTCTGTTAATTAGGAAAAAAAGTCAATTAAGTGTTTTGGAAAATGTCACCATTAAAAACACTGGAAAGATATAAACTTATTAGTTTGTGAACACTTATTAGTTTCAGAAAACACTTATCCTTTCAAAATGCCAAGATTTCTTTGAATTATTGTATGTGAAAGGTACAGAAGTCAGAATGTACCAATGGTCATAGATTAAATTAGAACTGCTAACGAAAAATGTAATTCTAAACCTGAGGCTCTTATCCTTGATAAGGTAGTTTTAAAATAAGTTCATCTATAAGATACAGAATATACAATGAGTATGATTCATCTTGCTATTTTTCCAAGTTCCCACCTATCCTCACTTCAGGACAAAAAGTTCTCCCAGAAGAATCAAATAATTTTAAAATGAAACCAAGACGTCACAGTAAGAACATAATTTTCAAGCTGACATTGACAATATAGTTTGCTTTTTTGGCATTCTTAATGTCTTTTTCTCTAACAAAGAAAGATGCGTCTGTTCTCCAATTGTAGTATGAGTTGGAGAAAACAAGAGCCAGATGACCCCAGATTTCTCTCATCAGAACTAGAACACATCTTACACCTGAGGGGGACATATGATTTTCCAATTAGATGATTGTAAACTCCATTAATAAGATTCTAGCTTCTCAGACATCAGAGAAACTGAAGTATTTGTTTCTTATCCAAAACCAGCTTATGCTCTTCTCACTCCTCTTGGCATGCTTCCTAAATCGGGTATATTGTCTTTCAGGAGGAATTCCAATGAGCAATTTTTTGCCTACAATTAAAACACTCTTTCAACCTTACCTGGGCCTTTGGTAGACTCCTCATAATTGTGAAGCAAAGCTCCTCCAATGCGTTCGATGCCTAATGGAAATGCGAAGATGTACAGGCTAAGCTTCTGCTTTAACAGAATTTGCATAGAAGATAAGACTGTAGAAGGTTAGGAGCACAAGGATAGTTCAACTATCCAGAAGAGAATCCTTCTTGTGGCCCATTGAAACTCTTTTGGAATCCCTCGATTTCTCTCATGATAAAACTTGTCTCCTAAAAGTAAAAACTTCCTTTCCACCAGGAAAAAAAAAGTGTTATGTACTGTGTATATGCACTGATTGAGGCTTCCACTGTGGTCCAGATTCATAGTTCTCAGGACTTGCTATGATTCCACGGACTTCTATGAGAGTAACTAGGGCAGTGCCAAAAGAGAGAGGATTCTTCCCAGCTGGTAGCAAAGTCTGACTCTACATGCCAAAGCTGTGAACCTCATTGAATATTACTCATTATGGGCTAATTTAAAAATCCCGTAATTGCTCTCAAACAATGGGAGTTGGAGGGGAAGAAGCCATGCGTGGTGCACCTAATCCAAGTTACCACCCTTCCAGGCTGCTGACTGCACACCCGGGATCAGGTTCTTCAAAGCATCTGAGCACAGGAGTAGGGCAGGGCTCCTTGTGGTGAGCAGCCAGCTGGGTGTGGTGAGGAGTAGCACAAATGGACAAGCTGGGGCAAAACTTGCTTTGCACAGAATTTAGCACAGTTGTACCACTAACAATTAATTACTTAATAAATGCACACTGGGGGCCGGGCCCCATGTCCTAGTGGTTAAGTTCAGTGCACTCCACTTCAGTGGCCTGGGTTCAGTTCCCGGGCACAGACCTACACCACTCATTGGTGGTCATGCTGTGGTAGCTACCCACATACAAAAGAGAGGAAGGTTGGCACAGATGTTAGTGTAAGGCAAATCTTCCTCAAGCAAAAGGAGGAAGATTGGCAACAGATGTTATCTCAGGGCAAATCTTCCTCACTAAAAAGAAAATGTGCACACTGGAAATAATGAGGAGCTGGAACAGTATGAGGTGGGAGTGATATAATTAGTGGTTAAAAACATGGGCTATGGAGTGGAGCAGCCTGCAATTCCACAGCAGTGCAAATTCCATTTCTACTCTTTATTAGCTGTGTTACCTTGGGCTGGTTGCCTAACCTCTCTAAACTTCAGTTTCTTCAGCCATGAATCAGGGTGACATCATCACTGCAGAGAGTTCTTGGAAGGCTTAAATTTAGATAAAACGTCTTAGTACAGTGCCAGAACACAGCAATTAGTTAACAGTAATAGCATTTAAAAATAGTAGCATTAAAAAACACATTTAGTAGCATTAAAGAATGTGTAAAGCATTGATTTACAGCTGTAGTTACTTTTAATTTAGAAGACATGTCAAAAGAATCGTTTGGGGCCGCCAATATTCTCAACCTTTGAACAATAGTGTGTATTTAATACGGTTGACTATAGTTAAGGATACAGTTGGAGCAGCCTTCCTAGCATCAGAGGTCTGCTTTGTTCTCCTTCATGTGTTTGTCTGCCATGCAAATTGTTGAGGTACTTATTAATAATATTTAATGGCTCATATTTATATAGTGCTTCAATAAATTACAGAACACTTTCAAAGATATAATTCACATTCTGTCCTTAAAACATAGCTGTGTAGTATACACAACGGGAACTGTCATTCTCATGAATAAAGGAAGTAAGCTTCTAAGAAACTGTCAGTTGCCCAATACCACATATTGCTAGTAGTTTGTAGACTGTTGCCTGGGAGCTAGGTCTTCTGACCTTTAGATATTCCTGTGTCACACTGGTATTGACTGTTACGCCTATGGTTGGGAGCTAGATGAGAAAAAAAGTAGAGTGTGGACACTAATACATCCTTTCTCACTTTTTCCCTTCAGGGATGAGTGCACACAGGTCACTCCATAAAAATCTAGAAAGAAATCCCTGAAACCTTCTTTTATGGCTCATCTAGAAATGCTACAAAATACAAAACAATGAAAAGAAAATAGCTAGTGATGCCATGTGCCAAAGATGTAGCTCTTAACTCGAAGAAGAAGAAATTCAGATATATGAGTGTCTCCTCAGAAAAAAGCTGCTAAGCTGGAGGAGGCTGGCAACAAGATTGAAGTTCGACAGAAAAATTTTCAAAACAAGCTGCATTTTCTCCAGTAATTCCTTACACAAAGCCATCATTCAGTGAGCTACAACTATTCTTTAAGAATTTTTTCATACTAAAATTTTAATATTTTATTTGTGGACCTTAAGGATCCTCATTTTCTATTTACTAAAAATGTTTTGAAGCGCTGTTCTGATAATCACACAAATAATAAAATAACAGTTAATGTGAAATTGACAGGTTAAAAAAATTGTATCAGTTAATACAAAAGATTCCATAGTAAATTCTAAACTCTCCTCAAAAGGGACATAGTATCCAAGTCCAATAAAAGCTTAGTTTTTCTTTCTTTCTTTTTTCTTCTTCTTCTTCTTTTTTTTTTTTTTTTGAGGAAGATTGGCCCTCAGCTAACATCTGTTGCCAATCTTCCTCTTTTTGCTTGAGGAAGATTGCCACTGAGCTAACATCTGTTTTATGTGGGATGCCACCACAGCTTGGCTTGACGAGTGATGCTAGGTCCATGCCCAGTATCCGAACCTGTGAACCCTGAGCCGCCAAAGCGGACCAGGCAAACTTAACGATGACGCCACCAGGCTGGCCCCAAGCTTAGTTTTTCTTGATGGTGTTTAGATAAGTACTTGAAAATTCATCCTTTTAGTACTGCAGAAATAAAAGTGATTCTGAGGGTGTTGCTGAATTTTAAATACAATGCAAAAGATTGTATGCTGATTAATATCCATCACGTTACATATCCATCAATGCTCCTCCAGTAATTTAAAATATTATTCATATATGTCATCTATTTTGGTCCTGGTCTTGCTTTACCATCTAGTGCTCTAACTTCTTTCACGTGATCCTCTGCAGACTGAGGAATGGGTTGAGGCAGGAGAAATAGCCCTACGCAAGGCTGCTTCTCTACGCTGGCCAGGATGACATTCTGGAAGGACTGGGTGAAGGACATGGCACCTTGGCTAGACCATATAGGGGTACACCACAGGCACACGGCTGATAGCTCCGAAAGAGGATGAGCCAAGAGCCTCTCCTGAGCCCTCTTCTCTGTCCAGGAGACTAGGGACACTGATTAAGAAAGTCAAGACACTCAGGCTAACTCCGCTATACCTGTACTCAAAGATAGAGCTGCAGACACAAGCAGCAGCGTCCAGGAGAAACGCGGGAAGGAGGACACACTTATTTCCCATTCCTCACGTTTCCATGTGCAGGAGCTAGACTAACACCCTTCTCTCCCCAACTCTCTCTTAACTCTTTCCTATGGGAAGAGGAGCGAGTTACCCGAGAGATGACTGGGAGGAGGAAATCTAGCATGTTCCCTTCAGCCTTTTCCTCTTTTGGAATCAGCTCTCTGGTCAGCTGTTCTTGTCTGGTCTTTGTGGCAGAAAACCTGACTCTGGCCAAAGTCCCCAAGTCACTGTCTAAGCCTGTTTAATTCTTGGGGCTAGTTTTAGCAAATACACTTGGCATCAGATCTAAGGCCACATTTACAAATTAACTTTTCAGTTAACGATGATACTTCGAGCTCTGTTAAGTCTGACTCCGAAGTTTCTCTCTCCATGGGTTTCAAACTCAATTGGGGTACAGGATATTAGCCCCCAGATACAGCAAGAGACATTATTTTTAATCTGACACAGAATTTGATTTTGAAATTAACATTTTAATTTCCAAAATGTGTGTATATAATCTGCAAATCTATTTTACTTAGGAGATAAAAGTCCTAGCACTTTACCTCATAAGTTCACAGCACTGATTACTACCTGCAGATAATGTAATAATTTCTAATATGTTGACGTGTTTTACAAGTCCAGAAAGTGATGACAGGTCCAAAGGGAGAAATAGAGTATCTCAGCACTACACAAATGTCTACATCATTACAAAACACCCACAACTGCAATTACCTGAGGCTGGGAGTCAACGGACAGGAGAGAAGAACAAGCGGCATCTATCTGCAGAAAACAACAATGGCAGTCACATCTCAGAAAGAGACAGAAAAGGGCAGAAAATGGAAAGCAGATTTTACCAAGTCAAGTTACCTTTGTAACATTAATTGAAGTTCTGTGACAGCTTAGGACTCTGGATCTGGGAGAGAGGAAGTCCTAGAATTGGGATTTTTCCCCAGCCACAGGAGTGTACGTCCCCAAGAATGGTTGATAGGGCTCATCAGAGAGTATAAAGATGCTTCACACATTGAGAGAAAGAACTTCGAGTATTATTCAGCCTGAGAAAGGTGAGAGGTGACTAAAGAGTGGCCTGGAAATCAAGGAGCACCCTGTTATCGTGTCCGTCTTTATTACATATAAGTCTAATCACACCATCTACGTTAACAGGATAATAGCATAATAAGCGCTAAATGATAAACAGTATACAGTAAAAACTCTTATACAACATGGGCAAATCGCTAGTTAGAAAAGGTTCTTTTCTGAAATGAAGTCTCATTGAACTACAGATGGCAGCTAGCTGTTCTCAGCCTTTATCCTAAAGAGAGAACTTGAAAGACTTTACGCTGTAGTATAAGAGATTTATATTAATCATTAAAAAACTGTGCTGAGAACTTAAGCACTAAGCTAGATGTCTGGAGTTGTTTATGGCATTTATTTCGTTGGTGGCCTTTTAAAATGAGACTCGAAAAAATGGTACTAGTCTTGTCTGTCTGGGATGATTTGGGTTGAGTCCTGTTTATGGCATAACATCTCAGGGGGCCCCTTCGAGTCCCAAAATTCTTTGTTGATCAATTTAATTCAATTTCCATTTTCACATCAAACTGAGCGGGGATTGTTATATTCTTTAGTCATAATTTCTCAAGCTCCTTATTGCTTCCAAGTTGAACGTGTCCTAAAATACACGATTCTCTAATTTAGAGAATAACAAAGGTGGGCAATATTATAGAAAATATATGTCTCTCTCCTTTTTATCCTCACAGAACTTGCCATCTTCTCTGTACATCACAATATTTGGGGAATTGCTTAATTCCACTTGTGCCTTGTGCCCACCCACCTGCTCCCTCTTCCACGCCGTATGAACCCAGAATCATGGATACGAAAACACACACACACACACACACACACACACATAAGTGATAAACTTCTTGAGGGCAGGGGCTGTGCCATATCTAACTTGCCCAGAATAAGTGTTCAATAAATATTCTTTAATTAAAAGAAATTAAACGTGGGGAAAAAATAAAAAGAGAAGCCAGTTGCGAGGGGAAAGCCAAAAGATACCCTTTTAAGCTGTGCATTGTGACCAGAGCATAATATATCACCTCCAAATGTTAAATGCTTTCATAGGGCAGGAGGGAGTGGGTCCTCCTGAAATTTCTGTGGTGCTTAGACAGCTGAAGACATTCCACGCTCAGGAGGAAAGCTGTTTACCCTCCAACCAGGCTGCCCACCTGTGTGAGGTGGCCATGTCCCAGAACAGAGAGCCCTTGAACTTCAGGGCTAACAAATCAGTGCACCAATTATTGCTTGAATAAAAACATCAGAATAAGAAAAAGCACCAACTAATCAAATTAGGAGATAACTTCAAAGCTTTTCAGTCTTTCCTTAAAAGGCCCAGCAACATTGCTCACCCACTTTCTATTTGGGTAAGCGTTTGTTCATTTTACTCAGCTATGGCCCTAATGGTTTTAAGTGCCGCTAATTGCTTCTGAGAACTCTGTAGAGTCCACTGATGAAGCTGTTTGCAAATGATTAGGTCTCCATATATGGTTTGAAAAGTATGTGCTTTCAGTGTCTGAATAGCTCTGTAATTTGTAAAACCTCCAGAAGAAAACTTAACTACACGTTCTGAGCATCTCAACTGCTTTAAATATCATTTTCTATAAAAGGACTTATAGTGCTTTTACAACTCTATGTGAGCTTTTCCCCAGAATTATCATCTAAAATATTTTTTCAAAGATTTTCCACCGCAATATAGATGATTTCAAGCTAAAATAAACGTTTCTGTATTATATATTAATATCTGTGTCTAAATTATTCTTCATCTTGTTTATATATTTCTAGTGTGTATTTTGGCATACCAAGGCAGAGACCCTCAGAATAGACTTCATAGATTTCCGGGCTATTAAAGACTGTTCAGTACTTGGCACTTATCATCTATCTTTTCCCTTCTGTATTTTGTTGGGGGTGGCTTAGGTACAAAGGGTGTTCTCAATTCATAGCTCACTATCATTATTGGACTTGCTTTACTTATTTATTCTTTTTATATTTCCACTTCCTGCTCCTATTTCATCCTCCCATAGGCAACTCTTCTAATGTATTTGATGTGTATCTTCCATTTGTTTAGCTTCTTGTAAAATCTGTACTGCTGTTGACTGTGCATGTGTGGTATTTTCACTTTTTTTTTTACTTAACTCTGTACTTTGAGATCTGTCCATGTTAATGGGTACATCTAGTATGTTGCTCCTAATGGCTGTAGAGTACTCTATAATGTGCACCCAACACATGTTGCTTACCCATTCTCCCCCACCCCCCAGTAATGGACAGCCAGGTTCTCTCTGATTCCTTCCATTCCCTCCTATCTGTCCTCCACTATGGATCTGTAGAAGAATATCTTTGGGCTATATACCCAGGAGAGGGAATGCTAGACCATGGGGATATCTAGGTTGCTTTCCAGATGGCTCTTGCTAACACTTGCCATTATCTAGATATCAATTTTTTGCCAGTCTAATGAGTGGAAAGTGACAGTTTGCTGTTATCTTAACTTTCACTTCACTATTACTAACGAATTCAAGCATCTCTTTGGGTGCTTGTTGGCCTTTAGGTTTCATCTTTTAAATTGTTCTATCCTTTGACTATTTTTACTTTGGATTCCTGTCTTTATCCAATGGATTTGATAGTTTTTCTTGGGTATTCTAGAAATTAATCTGTTGTCAGTTTTAGACATTGTTAATATCTTCTTTCAAAGGCTCTTATCTTTTTCCATGGAGTCTTTTGTTGAAAGAAATCTTTATTTTCAAATAATCCAATTCATCGTGTTTTTGGCCTTATGATTTATATTGAAGAAGTCTTTCCCTGTTCCTAGCACACAAAGACATTTTCCTAATAGAAAATATTTTCCATTAACTCTACAATTTTACCCTTTATATTTAGATCTTTAATCCACCTGGAGCCCACCTTTGCATAGAGTGTTAAGTGTCATTTTTCTCCATACAGCAAGCCAGTTCCTCGACCCTCATTTGCCAAACAAGCTGTCCTTTCCCCATTGAACTTTAGTGTTACTTTTATTGTAAGTTAAATTTACGGCTATGTGTATTTCTGTCTTAGTGTAGATTCCCCCAGAAACATCCCTGGAGATAAGGATTTGGATATGAGAGGATTACTTGAGAGACAACCCAAGAAGCACTAGTACAAGAGTGGAGAGGTAAAACAGGGAGGAGAAGGAATCCAATAAAGGGGATGTCATCAAGCAGATTACCACCATGGGGAAGTGGGGAACTCTGGGAGCCAACGTAGGACTCAGAGTTATCTCAGTGTAGAACTCTGGGAACAGAGGGGAGATGCAGCTAAGGTATTTACCCACCAACTCCCTTGGGTCACCAGTTGAGGGCTGTCCTCAGTGGTGAGGGCATTTACTCTCAAGGACTTCTGATCTGCCCTGAGCACAAGCCAAGCAGGCAGAGTCACAGGTGCCTGCAGTAGAAACAGTAAGTTTGGAGTGCTCAGGAATGGTGAGTGACAAAGGGATATGACAGGACTCTGACAGTGTCTGCTAAAATCTCCAAACTCAAGTGTCTGTTCCAGGGGTTCATTTATCTGTCCTTGTGCCATTACCATAGCTTTTTTATTACTACAGTTTTATAGTACTTCTTGATATTTGGTAGAGCAAGTTCTCACTCTTAGCACTTTATATTTAAAATTTCCTTAGCTATTTGCAGACCTATGTTTTTCCATATCAATTTTAGGTTAGATTTATGAAGTTTCTGAAAAAAACTAAATGGAATTCTGATTAGGATTACATTGGCTTTATGAGATTTACTTGGAGATAATGGACATTTTTATTACATTAAATTAATAGTTCCATCCAAGAGCAAAGAATGTCTCTTCACATATTCACATCATCTTCGATTTCCTTTATTAAATTTAATATTTTTCTCCATAAAGCTAAGGCATATTTTTGGTTAGGCTGGTTCCTAAATACTTATAGTTTTTGTTGCTATGGTGAATGATATAATATTTTAACTTTATTTTCAGGTTACTTTTTCCTAGTGAAAAGAAATGTTATTGATTCTTGTATATTACATCCAAAAATCTTCTGAACTCTCATCTTAGCTCTAATAGTTTAAGAGCAAGAGATTTATTAATGTAATTCACCATGATCATAGATTGAAGGAGAAAAGGCATATTGCTTATCTCAATATTGATGCAGATAAAGTATTGATTAAGTTCAAATTTAAGTTAGGATTAACAAAACTTTTAGCATGATAGGAAAGGAAGAGAAATTCCTTAACTAGGTAAAGGCTATATAACAAAATTCTAGAGCAAATTTATATACTTTATGGAAAAACTTTGGGTACATTTACTGTGTAACATAGTACTGGAGGCCTTGGCCAATGATATAAGAAAAAAAGAAATTGTTTCATCAGTGCTTATTATGTTACTATTGCACCTTTTCGGCATCAGATATTTTTCTAGGAATTTGTCCATTTCATCTAAGTTTTCAAAATTATTGCCATATAGCTGTTCATAATACTTTTTTTTGGTAACAGCTTTATTGAGATATAATTCATATACCACACCATTGGTCCATTTAAAGTGTACAATTCAATGGTTTTTAGTGTTACTTATAGAATTGTCCATAATATGTTTCAAAAACATTTTTAAAACCCCATTTTCTTGGTGGTCTACTCTTCTTCAGTCTATATCTTGTTTATCTTTATCTTCCTTCTGCCTTTTAAAATCAGTACTGCCAGTGCTTATTAACATTTTGAGAGAACAAACAAATGGTTTTGTTGATATAGTTGACTTGTTCTCCCCTTCTCTCTTTTTAAAATTCATTTCTGCCCTTATTTTTAATATTTACTTCATTCATGTTTCTTTGAATTTCCTCAGTTATTCTTTTTCCCACCTTTTTTATTTGAATGCTTAGCTTACTTGTTTTTAAATTTTCTTCTTTCCTGATAAATATGTATGAAGCTAAAATTCCTCTCTAGCTACTGTTTTAGCTGTAGCCTACAAATTTTGATTTATAATGTTTTTATGTCATTCAGTTCTAAGTATTTTGTAATTGCCTTTTTAGCCCAGGGTTATTTACCAAAATGCTATTTACTTTCCAAAGAGATGGGCTATTCAAGTTAAACTTTTACTATTAATTTCTAATTTTATTGCATTATGATCAGAAAACATTTTTAATGGACTCTAACATATGGAAACTTTGCATTCTTACACATGGTCTAATTTTTTAATGTTCCAATGATTTTTTTTATGTTCCAATTATACTCAAAAAGAATGTGCATACTATTTAGTATAGGTTTTTAAAAATATTTCTAGTAGCTCAAATTTATTAACTGTATGGTCAGATCTTTGATATATCTACTTATGTGTTGTCTGCTTTGACTATTAGTTTTGAGAGAGGTGTACTAAAATCTCCAGCTACAGGTGTTCATTTACCTATTTTTTTTCCTGAAGTTCTATCAATTGTTAAATAAATTTTGAGGTTGTTTTGTTAACATACATTAATGATGCTTGTATCTTTTTGCTTGTTCTTTTATTAGCACATAAGATCCCACTTTGTTTGTTATGATGGTTGGTTCCTTTGAATTCTCTTTGTCAGATCTTAAGATGGCTACCACAATTTTTTTGCCGTTCATATTTGCTTGGTACATCATTTTCCTTCCTTTCACTTAGACTTTTTTTGTTTTCTGTTTTAAGTGCGACTCTTATAGACAACATATGTTGGGTCTTTTTAAAAAATCCATTCCGAGAATCCCTGTCTTTTGAGTGGTGCATTTTAGTACATTCACATTCATTGTAATCACTCTATTATTAGGGCTCATTTCTGCCATCTTACTTTACTATTTATTGCATTTTTTCTTTTCATCTTTCCTTCTTTCATTTGATAAAAATAATAATTCTGAATATTATGATGTCAGAATGTTAGTAAAATCATAGTTGTCTCAAAGCTTAATTATATTATTTCATTTCACCACGATAATTTCGAAAAAGGGTAGAGTTTTCATGAATTTTTATGAGGACAATTCTTTACCTCATTCCACAACAGTAGTTCTTGTTCAGGCCGTAATCCTTGAGGCCATATTGGAGCACCTAAAAGTAAAGTTATACTCATGTTAATTTTGTAGTATTTCTTCTAAAATTATACCTTTATGTATAGTTCATTTGGGGATGATTTCTCAGTTTTCACTGTACATCTCTACCTCCTATTTCAGCATTTGACTTAGTATAAGGAGACATAATTATTAAATCAATTTTAATAACATTACAAAGACATTACTTTCAAGAATGAATGAATTACACGTCTACACAAAAGAAACTGTAGATGAATGCAAAGGTAGAAACAATCTGAATGTCAATCATCTGGTGAATAGATCAACAAAATGTGGTACATCCACAGAATGGAATGCTATTCGGCCATAAAAAGGAATGAACTACTGATATACGCCACAACACTGATGAACTTCAGACATGCTAAGTCAAATAAGCCAGAGGCAAAAGGCCAAATATTGTATGGCTCCATTTATATGGAATGTCCAGAAAAGGCAAATCTATAGTGATAGAAAGACTAGTGCTTGCCTGGAGCTGGGAGTAGGAGTGAGTTTTAACCCTTATTCAGTGAGTAGGGGCCTGAGTAGGAAAAGACACTTCTTAATTTAGTCTTAGGCACTTGATCACTTATAGTCACGGGACAAATCAAGTGACAGTTTGTTGCAGATATCTAAAATGTTCCCCTCTTATAGGAAATTTCCTTCTTTATTTTAATAATGTTCTCTGAATAGTAAACTGATTCCATCTGCTGAATCTGTGGCTGGCCCTTTATCTTCTTCTTGTTATTGCATGCTCTGCTAACTCGTTTTTACCAAGGATGCTGTACTTATTGACACTATTTATTTTCCTCTGGCTTTGTGACATTTGTTTTGTTGTTTTTAGATGCATCTTGCATAATGATTACTCGTGGTAGATTATCTCCCAGTTTTGTTTAAGTGCGTCATGCTTCCCCTTCAGTGCCATCTCTAGGGATTCAGGACCGGGGCAGATCACACCGTATAGTCACCCTCTCCCCACCCCATCACATTTTTAGAAAGATAAAATTAGTATTTTTAGTACCAAAAGCAGGTCTGAAGGGGAAAGAAGACACAGAAGGGTAGCCTAGGGGGGTCTCTGTGTAGTAAGAGAGGGGTCTCATCCCTTCACTTGAGAAATATTGGGAATATTTATGAGACGACTGGTCAGCCAGCAGACATGCTCTTTTGGAAATAAAATCCAAGACTTGTCTTTTTTAGAAACCAGCTGCTGCCTCCCATAGTTTCTGCTCGATCACCAGCAGCCTGAAAATTCCCCCGCCTCCCCAAAAAGCAGGTATCTCCCACTGATGCCAAAATCACTGCCAGCCTATAGCACATAACATACACGCAAAGTACATTTGCTTTACAGAGTAAAAGCCATTTTTAAAACTATGTCCTTCCTCAATAAGATAGATAAAGATTACCATCCTAACTTTACCAGTAACAAATTGAAAACTGAAAACGATTACCATTGCTTTGCATAAGTCATGTTCCATCACTCCTGGCTGTGTGATGGAAAAGGTTTAGGTCTCCTGGCTTCTGCCTGCTTAGATTTCAAAGCCAAATTACCTGCTTCTCAAGCAGGGGGACCCCTCCCCGCATCTCCAATTCCTCAAGGAAAGGAGAAAATCAAAACAACGAAAGGACAGCAATAAAAATAAATACATTAGGAAAAGAATAACAGCTTCAGTTCCCCCACATCTAATTGAGGGCTGGGCTATGCTCTGAAAGGTCCCTGCAGTTATGGTTTCAAGTCTGCAAGCTTCTGAACAATGGTGAAACAGTCTGCCCACCTTTATCTCACTGACCGGAGAGCAGAGGGAAGCTAAGAGAACCTGTTGCCAGCTGGAAAATTCGTGGTCTTAGCAGGGCAGTGGCTGACTCTAGAGGGCCCCTGCCTCAGAGCTGGGAATGAAGAACAGCCCCCTCAAAGTACCTGGAAAGGTAAGCTTTAGAGAGTAGGACATGATCTCCCCACTACAAGGAGTCGTGCTCTGCTCTACCTGATCTCCCAAGCTTCAGACGTCCCTCCCTGACTTGGCCTTGGCCCGCCCCACTTCTTTCCTCTAAGCCAAGCTCAGGAAGTCCCTATTGCTATCATGTCACATCTGCCCTCACTGGCTCTAGCAGGAGCACTCAGAGAGCGCGGTTTGCACGCTTGCCTCGCCAACTCTCATGATAAACAAAAAATCTCTATTCCTTTTCCTGACGTGGGGCTTGAAAACCTATAAGGCACAGAGCCCACCCTTTTACCCTTCTGAACGGCTAAAATGGGGCCTGTTTTCCCGCTCGAGATTATCTGAACAGAACAAGAGCTCACTCACCAAAGAAACTGAGCACTCTCCAAGTTTACCTCGCCTCAGCAGGTGATGTATCAAACTCACTCTAGTTTTGCTTCAGCCATCAATTCCCCCCAGTAATTGCAATCAAAGAGAAAGCATTTTAATTCTCACCGTTTTCACTCCCGTTACCCACAGGCCAGTCGGGTTGGACATCCTGAGCCTGGGGGAGCCCTGCAAATTTCCATCAACGGCGGGCTGCCCCGCGCCAGGCCTGGAGATTCGGCCGACCCGGGGACGCGCTCGAGCCGGGCCACTGGCACCTGTGCCGCCGGCTGCCCTGGGGCGACAACCCGCGTCTGCAGTCAAGGGCGAGGACCTGGGGAGCCCCGCGGCCACAGCCGAGAGTCGAGGCGAGAAAGGGAGGGACGAGAGCACGGCGAGTGGAGCCGGGGGAGGCGCGAGAAGCGGCGCGGGGGCCCGGGTGCGCGGGGCCGGCTTACCTCGGCAGGCGCCCGCGCAACAGGCGAGCAGCAGCAGCAGCAGGAGCGGGGACGCCGGGGACGCCTGTCCGGGGGGCGGCCCGGGGCGCCGGCTCGCGGCTCGAGGCATCTCGGCGCCCACGGGCGGCTCGGGGCTCGGGACCCTGCTCTGCGCTGCTCCACTCGGTGCCCTGCCCGTGCCTCGCGTCCCTGGCGCGCCGCTCGCGGGGCCCGGCCGCCGAACTGACCGCCCCGCGCGCCACCAACTTTTAAATCTCGAGGACACGTGGGCTGAGGCGGCGCGGTGCCCGCGCGCGTCACCTCGCCGCCCCCGGCCTCCCTCGCGTCACTCGGGACCCACTGCCCGCCCCCGCCCCCGCCCCCGTCCCTGTCCCTCCCCGCGGAGGGACCCGCGCCCCTGGCCGGAGTTTCTGACTCAGGCTGTCACGCATTCTCCCTCTCCCAGGGGCTCTGGGATAAAGGAGAATGGAATTAAATCAATGCAGGTCCATTTCTTTCTTTGGAAGGATTTGAGTGGGAGCCAGGGGGGCATGGCACACCAGGCGGTCCGAAGAGGCTGGGATCCAGGTTTTTTAACTCGGTAGCGGCGACGGTCCTTTGTATCTTAAGCCTGCCTGGGACGCGCCGCCTTCTTCACCCTCCCGGGACTGTGCGGTGCCTCCTCTCCCGGAGCTCCAGGAGCCCCCTCTGTCGAAGCACCTCTGTTTGTTCACTCGTTTGTCCCCAGCTCCTAGCTCAACGCCCCGTGAATGTTAAAGCAGTACTGAGTCAACGGTGATGGTGATGTCCGTGTGTCGCCCCCCCTCCCCGTCCCGTTCCTACAAGGTCTGAGACTATTTAGCGAAATGCACTTGTCTGTTAATGAAGGTCAAGAAGAAAGGACTACTGGGGCTTGACCGCACATGCTTGTCTAACGACTCTAGAAGACCTCCAGCTGTCCTATGGATTTCCAAGACTAAGGTAACTCCTTTTTCCGTGCGTTTCTGCTGCTGTCACACCCTAGCTGTTGCATTCTGATTTCGAGGGTGACCTGACCACTGTCCCTCTCCATACTTACTTCCTAAGTGGAAACGTCCTGGAAGCAGCCTCTTCTAAGACACTAGCTGATACGGTTTTAATTTCCTTCTTCAAAAGAGGGAAAACTGATCTTATTGGACCACCTTTTGAAAGGCGTGCTGAGGAACAGATAGGAAAGAAGTACATTAACATTTCTTAAGGGGCACCTTTAAGTTGGGCGCTTTTTCCTATGCTATTTCATTTAATATTCATGACATCTCTGGGATGTAAACAAATGTTTTATGATTCTCATTTGATGATGCTTAGAAAGATTAAACAGTCTGGCCAAGGATATCAGCAAGTGAGAGAGCCACTCACTATCCTACTCTTTGAAGATGCTTCTCCCCTAAATCGGGGTTTTTAATGTATCAGGCATGCATTGTGCAACCCATTGTAGGCAAGGCATGCCCTTAAGGATACATTTAGTAACTGTAGGATGTTTCCTAAGGGAAATTACAATCTGGTGAAGGACCCCAAACTTATACTCAAATAGCTGTATTGCAAGGTAGATTGGGATAGTGCTCTGTCAGAGATACAGAGAGAGGCAGGAGGATAACCCTGACAGATCAAGTGAGAAAATAATGGCTACCATTTTTAAGTTGTTTATCTACCCGAACCACGGGGAGCAAGGCCAGATCACAGAGTCTGGTTCAGGTTCAAGGATGTCAAGGAATAGATTTGATTCAAGAATGCTCATACTTTGATTTATTCCCAAAGTAGTAAAAAACTAGTGCAAAGAATGTAATGAAATAAGGATGTCAGTGGGTAGAGGGGGTTCTGGTTCCCCATTGCCTTACCTGTGTCTCCTGGAGGGGCACTGAAAGATCGCTAGTCTCAGCAGCTATGTGGGGTGAGATGTCAGTGAGAACAGAGGAGCCTGGAAAATGCTGGGCTCAATGCTTTTTACATCCCCAGCAGGTCAGCAAAAGAGACAACTCATGCATTACAAGTTTTTTCTGCATGAACCAACCTTCTCTGAATGTTCTTTACATGTCCCTTGGTGCACATATGCAAGAGTTTTCTGAGGTATATACCTAGGAAGAGAGTTATTGGGTCATAGGGGATAATCTAGTTAAACTCTTATTTGTTTCCCCATGTGTTGTAGCAATTTACACTCCACCATCCGTGCGTAAATTTCCATTGCTGCACATTCTTGCAAAAATCTTTGCTAATCTGGTGGGTGTGGCATCTCATTGTGGATTTAATTTGCACTTCCCAGTACTAATGACGTTGAGTGCCTTTTCACAAATGTATTGGCCATTATTGCTTTCTCTTCAGTGGAATGTCCATTTATCACTTTTGCCCATTTTTCCCCATTGTGTTGTTAGGTTTTTTCTGACCCATTATAGGAATGCTTTATGTATTCTAGAACTTATTGTCTAAGTGTGTGGCAAATGTTTCCTCACTATTTATGGCTTTTCCTTTACTCTCTGTATATGAGTTTTATTTTTGAAGAAATGCTTAAGAAAAGACTTAACGGACTAATGGTGGTGCCATCATATGACTTGGATGATGCCTCTCACCTGTTGTCTCTTGCATTCCTGACTGTAAATTGGCAACTGGACTTTGCTTTCTGCTTAGACCCTATAAAAATGAAGGCTCAGTTAGATCATGGGCTTGTGGATTAGTAAGACCCGCTAGTTTGTGATAGGGAGGCCCAGAAAAGTCATCATGGAGGGCTTTAGGAAGGAGAGGATGGTTGAATGTCAGGAGAGTGGGAGAGTCAGCAATAGATAGCAATGCAGTCAGGCAGTACTTGGCAATAGCAAAGTCTAGTAATAGGTAAAGAGACCCAGCTTTAGGAACTGAGGATAGGGGCAAGATCTGGAACATTTCGGAGTTCTAGGCAAGATAGTCGTGCATCCCTTCAAATATTAATTGAGCACTTTGTAGGTTCCATTCTAGAAGCTTGGAGTACATCGGTGACCAAGTCAGGCAGTTAAAGACTCTGCCTTCATGGAGTTGACAGATTTTTAAGGAGAGGCAGATAATAAAAGTAAACAAAATAAAACAATTTCAGATAGTAGTAAATGCTATGAAGGAATTAAAACAGGGTAATGAAATAATAAAAAGTGACTGGGAGTGATACATGACACAGGATTATCTAGGCTTGCCTCCCTGAAGAGATGATATGGGAGGCCTGAAAGATGAGAAGAAACCAGACATGGGAAGAACTGTCAAAAAAGAGCCCCATGCAAGAGGACCATCAAGTGCAAAGGCCCTGAGGTAGAAACAAGCCTGAAAGGTTCAAGGAGCAGAAGAAAGCCAGTGTAACTGGCATAGAGTGAGTAGAATGTGGGGAGCTGAGGTCAGAGAAGCAGACAGGTGGAGTCCTGATCACTGAAGGGTCTTGGAGGCCATGGCAAGGAGTTCAAATATTTCTCTAAATAAAATGTGAAGCCTTGGGAGGATTTTAAGGAGAGGAGTGAGATCATCTGATTTACAGTTGAAAAAGATCATTCTGGCTTCATTGGTGAGCAAGCTATGGGGGGCCCCAGTAGACGCAGGGAAGACCAGGTGGGAGGACGTTGTGGAAGTCCACATCAGAGCTATAACAAGGAATAAAGTACTGACACACGCTACAACATGGATGAACCTTGAAAACACGAAGCTAAGTGAAAGCAGCCAGACACAAAAGCCTGCATATTATATGACTCTGTCTATATGTAATACTCAGAATAGGCAACTCTATAGAGAGAGAAAATAAGTTAGTGTTTTCCAGGGTCTGGGGAAGAGCGGGAGTGATTGCTAATAAGTACAGAGGTTTCCTTTTAGGATGATGAAAATGTTCTGGAATCTTTAATGGTGATGGTTGCACATTCTTGTGAATACACTAAAAACCATTGAATTCAACACTTTAATAGGATGAATTTTATACTATGTGAATTACATCTCAATTTAAGAAAAAAGAAAGAAGTCTGGGTCCGATATGACGAAGATAACCTGTGGGATTGGAGGGTGGCACTCGTTGCAATTTAGCGCAAGAAAAGTTTGTCTATTTTTGGCATGAAATATCCAAATTTTGCTATTTAGTCCCTGGATGTTCCTGGTAACCATGAAATCTTCCTCTCCTATTTTGTGAAGGCATTCACCTAAGACATGTCTGTACCAATGACTATGCTACAGTCACTAGCTTGAATTTTTTCAGGGCAGAAAATACTTCATAAAAATCCAGATGGGGGACGTTGGTCTTTATAGTCTCTTTAATATAAATAACTATGAATAGCATCCTTATCTAAAAAATGGAAAGTAGATACTATTTGTGAATAATGATAACCTGTTATGTCTAAATGCTTTATACAATGCTCATTCATTCATTCAGTGAGGATTTGTTAAGCCAGTGTCAGCTGTAAGATTTATAGACTCAGAAAATGCTGAAAATTCTGTCCTGTTTTATCTTCTCTAAGACCACCTGCATCCTGTCATGCAGCTTCTTAATTTCCTGTTATTTACTGCCTATGCTCATGCAGGATGAATCATTTAGAAATACCACCCTAATTTCAAACGTGAAATGTAGAGAAAAGTTTTTGCTTAACAGCGTCTAATACTGAAAAGCTCTCCTGAGGTTATGGAAGTTAAAAGCAAACTACTCCAGCAACCCAATTTAGTCTATAGTCTCTAAGTAAAATCCAGGGTGGAAGCTAGTTGTGGAGCTACAAGCGGAGGCCCAAGAGGAGATGGTCATTTGGGGCAATTACAGGAAAATGACCAAAAGACTAGGGGTCTGGTTAGTTCAGAAAATGGGTATCTATTATTTAGTGACAAGGATACATGTCAGCTCTCTCCACAAACATCTTTGGCATCTGGATGAAATTCCCGTTTTATAAGTGAGTTTGCCTTCTCTTTGAACACTATTTCCTATGTTTTATAGTAACTCCAATAATCCTAATTCTTCCTTTTCCCACCTATCTCTTCAAATGATGTAGATGTCAATCTCTCTGCTTCTGGAAAATCTCTTGACTCAGAAGAACTTTTGGAGGAACTACATCGTACTGAGAAATCACCCCAGGAGAAATATTCTTCTAAAAGACAACAAAAGAACAAAGAATACAAGAGATGGAGGACTACAGATCAAATACATCTATGTTTCTTAGGACTTCCTGTTGTAGGACAGTCAACTTTGCCCTGATAATGACACAGCAGCTCACATAATTGTAAGAAATACAACGTCCTTTACAGGAGAGGGAAGCTGTTCTTATTGTCTCTAATTACTTG